TGTCATGGTCACGTTTTGTAAAATGCACACGTTTCCGGGCCAGCCTGCCGAGCCCAACTTCCCCCTGAGCTGTACGCGGGAAGAAAAAAAACAACAACAACAACAAAAAAAAAAACGCCAAGGTGTCGGTTCCACCGTCGCTAAGCTAACAAGTCACCGAGTCGGCTAACGGCAGCTAGCGTGCTACGGGCCGGCCGCTTTACGGCAAGACGAGGCCTCGCGTTGCACGTAACAGTTGTACGCTAGCTAAGCTGCCTCGGCGCAGCGGGCCACTGGGCTTTACGGGCCGGCTGGTTCGGGTCAACGGAACGCCAACATGGCAGCCGTTTGTCCGTAGCTGCCCAAGCCCGGCTCTGTAATTGCTGTCGGGGAAGTGGTGACGAATGTTTACCCGAAGTAACGACTGAGATCCAACAAGACCGTGTGTGTGTGAGGGAGAGTGTTATTGTGCTGATAGTTTTTTTTGCACATTCGTCTCTGTGCCCTTTCGAGTGCAACAGCTGAGCGCGTCGCATCCATTTTTGCCGACACGGACACTTGTAGACGTGTGCTTGTAGCTCTCCCGTCGGCACCAGAACCAACGGTACCTCCTGTGCGTTCGTTTGTGTGTAAGGCGCCTGAATCAAGCAAAGGGAGCCCCCGTTGTTGATTCACGCTCACCTGCGTGGTTGGTGGTTCTGCTCAGGTTGAGGTGGGATGGATGGATCCATGCTGGAAACCACGAGGCCACCCAGTTTGTAAAGAGTCGTGTTTTGATGCAGAATGTGATGTGTGCTGACGGAGATACTCTGCAAGCGCATCCACACCACAGTCTTCTTCATCAATGCGAGTTCACAGGAATCTTCATCCAAGTCTACTTGTGGGTACAAGTAAAAGTCACCTGATTAAACTTTGCATATTTCCACACGCATAGAACCTGTAGTATTTTTGTCTACAGCTAAGCAGTTTGTCAGAGAAGTGAATGTGAACTCTGCTCCTCAGTCACTCTTCCCTCAAACTGTAGATGAAGAACTTTGATGGCGTCCCTATATTTCACTGGTGCCATTGCAACTATCAATGGCACACAAATTGTGCATCTATTAATTAATAACTACTGCGTGAGACAATACTGCAGCTATTGGTTGGCAGTAGGGCCATTAACCATATATATATAAATTAAAACCGCTAAGTGGTTTCTTTTCAACCAGCTTAATCGATTCCTAGTTGGTAATCAGCTCTTGAATGTATGCCAATAAATAATCCCCAGTGTGTGTGTGTGTGTGTGTTTGTGCGCGCTTCATCTCAAGGAGACGTCTGATGAGCAAACCGAAGACCATTTCGTCTTTTGCAGAGTGTGCGCTGCTGTGTACAGTTGCAGCAGAGAAGAACCTTTCTCGATGTAAACAGTGACTCTTGGGCCACATCCTTTTACCGAATTATCCATCGCAGGGCTGTAAACTAACGGTTATAACCACAAATACACATCTATCTGACCCTGTAAAAGCTGCTGATGGTGGCGCCAATGGTCAGAACACCTGCCCCGTCGACCAGTTCTTAACTCTGTTCCTTGTTGTCTTTTGCGATATCCGATTTATTTTGCATGCAAGCTCTTGCGTGCCACTCTGCCGTGTGTGTGTGTGTGTGTGTGTGTGTGTGTGTGTGTGCACGTTCAGTTTCACATGGCTCCACCCGATGCGCTTCTTTGACCAGATGTGTGTGGAGTTTGGCAAAACAATAACATCTATATACAGTATATAGATGTATATTTGAAATAACCTGGTGGTCAAAGATGCTGCTTGTGCACATGAATATATGATGGTATCATGTTGTATTGATTTAAGCTGAAGACTACGTTTTTTTCCGCCGATATCGATCTACCACGCAGAAATCTGACCCTGCTGGATATCTCTTGGTGAAAGTCAACGTATACGGTGTTATTTTCATACGTCAAAGTTTGTACCGTTTTTCACTCGTCATCAGCAAGTGACTTTACTTGAGCAGTATTTTGATGATTTTTTTTCTAGGAGTTTGTCTGATTCAAGCTGTTGCAGCGCTCCAACTGTGTCCCGTGTAACTTTGTCTCCATGGAGAAGAGGAAATGGAAAAGCCTTCCAGAAAAGGCATGTCCTTGTCCTTGCACGAGTCTCAGACCGAGCGCATCGGCAGAGCTTTTTTTACTCTTACCGACACAGCGTCAACGGCACGTGTGTCGGGCCGCCGCCGCCGCCGCCGCCGCCTCCTCACAAGAATGACAGCTGTTCTCGCCGGCCTACTTGTGTCAGTGTGTGTTTAAGAGCGAGAGTGACTCATTGGCTCTGTATCAATGAGGTAATTCCACATCGGTTACTAATGCCAAAGGGAGTCCCTGCTCGCTCATCGCTCTCCTTGTGTGTACGTGGAGGCCAAGACGAGGTGTGTGTGTGTGTGTGTGACATTGAGCTACGGGCCCGTCCCCCCATATCCTCGCTCTGCGTGGCTTCTCCATGGTAACCTGCTAAGCCGCGCTGTTGTTTTTCCTGCGGCCAAAGTAGAACAAGGAACTCCAGTTTAAGTTGCCCTCTAATGTAGACGGCTGTGCGTTTTGTCTCCGTGCGTCATTCTGTGACTGTATTCCAGGACTCCGCGAAGAACGTGCCCTTTTTGCGGCGCTCTCGACAAGCGGGCGAATGGAGGGTAGAAGTTGTCGGTTGATTATCATTCGTCCAGTTCACAAAGTCTGCACTCGGCAAGCGGGCCGTTTCTTCTGAAGGGTCACCACCAACGGCCAAGGACTAAATTTGGGGCCGAACCGCTTGTGGCTGACTCAAAGGACTTGTTTTATAAGTCTGCTTAACGTGAGCGTGCTCTCTCCTCAACAAACGCCGAGACCTGAACCACAGTCGACTTCACTTAAGACCAAACAAACCTCAATACACAAATTGTGAGTAACAATGACCACTTCCTGACGCACCCCCTTCTGTGTGCGCGCCGTGTGTCTTCCTCTGTCCCATTACACTCTATGATCCAGGCGGGAGAACCTCTCATTAATGATGAATAGACCTCTAGCGGTCATATTAAACACGTCAATCAATTCGGGGACTGTGGCCCCGCGGAGTCTGCTTGTGGTCACTGTGTCTCGAGCTTTTAACCTCGCTTTTATGCGCTGATTTCAGACCCCGTGTGACGCCATTAATCTGCAGGTGAGCGGTCGCCACCCCCTCCCCAACGCTGCAGGGTGACCTGTGCGAGGACGCTATGGCTTGAGACTGGCATTGAATGTCAAATTCACCTGCTCTTTCTAAGCATTGTTACGGTGGCAAACGCAATCAACAAAATGCACTTCTTAACGGCAGAGATGATTTTTTTTTTCTTCTTCTGCCTCTGTGACGGGCATCAGATCAATACATGAGCTGTGGGGTTAGGCCCTACGACGCCCCGCCCCACCCCCCTCCGCCCAGGCGTGCTTTTGCATCTTTAACTCGCTTGTCTTGTTGTCGCTCCCTTTTAGTTTCATCCCGGTTGCAATTTGCATGACAGAAGTGCGTTTAATATGTAAATAATCTTTTCCTCTCGCTTGTGAAGCCCTCGCTGTAGGTGATGAAGTGTGAGGCTCTCTGGAGAGGAACTGCTGCCTGGTCCAGATGGCTCATTGTTGTGTCCGCTGCACCGCCCCTTTTAATAACACACTTTGGGCATTGGCCAGTGTCACCGCTGTTGTGTGTGTGTGTGTGTGTGTGTGTGTGTGTGTGTCACAGCGGGTTCTCTTTGTGCACAGATTTCTTTTCCCCCGCTGCTGGATATCTGACTGCATTCTGTTTTATATTGTGTGGTGATAATGTGAACAGATGCGGTGTGGCGACGGTGAGGAGGGCGGCAGCGCGCCTCTTCTCCTTAAGCTGATGTTTAAGGGTTCGTGCCGATTCTACCCAAACCAGCTTTCCTATCAGTACTGTTTGCCCGGCGATCCGCTTCCTTATCGATACTCGGCGCATCTTTTTGATTATTATTATTTTTTTTTTTAAACAAATTGTTTTATTCTTTGAATGTAAACAAATTGTAAATTTGAGCAGCAACTGCAGGAATGTTTAAATAACGTGTTGTTGTAGACAGCAAATACGTAAAATAAACAATCTTTGCTTCCTGACAGCTACATTTATTACATAATAATAGATTTATTGGCCCGTACTCGTAAACCTTGCATTGTTCTGTTGGTTAAACGCTGTGATAAATTACTGGTAATAAACGTCGCGGCAACTTTTTTTGGCGACAATCAAAGAATATTAACAATCCATAAACCCAATGATCCCTCTCAATAGTCGGCCCATTGTCAACACACAACACGCCGCTCGGCGACTTTGAAAAGCGGCACACGAAACGGCGCCGTTTTCTTTTCCCGACTCCCCATAAATTCCTCTAACCATCTTTCCTTCGACCCCATGACGTTTTCCCACAGAGGTCGCCGTGACTTGTTTGAAAAAGTATTTCGTGGGCCGTAAAAGTGTGACCACCCCTGGAATAGATGTTAGGAGGTAAATCCTATTGGTGTTGCTCCACGTGATTCATTTAGCGTTCAAACGTACCAATATCTCATCTGGGGGAAGCAAGTTAAAAAAAAAATATGTCTAATTTTGGCCTCAGGAAAAGGGTGTGATGCTAGCGTATATGCGCCAAGCTAGCTATCATTTTGTGTGTGTGTGTGTGTGTCTCAGTGGGTGGGCAAAAGAATAGCGGAAAGGTGGGTTGAGCATTTTTGCACAGAATTATTCTACAAGTTAAATAGATCAGTGTTTTTCAATTGCAAATGTCGGAAACACACAGCTTTTTTTTTTAAATACATTAATTCATCAGTGTGTGATTACAATGTAACCAAACCGGTTATTACATAGTGACGGCAATAGAAGGGCAGAATGAAGAGAAAGTGAGGTGTGGGGCAGCTGGCGCTGCAGCCTCCAGCCACACGAGGCCTGAAATACGACACTTGCTGTGTGTGTGTGTGTGTGTGTCTGTCTCTCTGTGGTGAGAAGGCAAGAAAACTGCTGGTTCGGGGCCGAGCGTGAACGCAGAAAAGTGTGGGGCAGAAATAAGAAGACATGCAAGATGAAATGTGACGCGTCGCGGTCCGCGTGCAGGAAACCGGGTGTGGGGACGTCGGGTTGTGCGTCTCTGGTCCGAGCTCCCCGGGCTGTGATTGGGCTGCAGGCTGCGTCCAAGCAGCAGCGACGCCCAGCGCACTCCAGAGGACAGAAACACACGGCATAAATGAAAGGGGGGGGGGGGGGGATTACTTTGTGTTTGGGACTTTCCCTCCATTTTTTCCTTTTTTCCTCTCCCGCGTGCTGCAGCTCTTCTTCCACAAGGAAAGCAAGAGAGCGCGGCTTTGTTTTCCGAAGCAGCAGATTGTTCCTCCAGCAACCCTTTTCACACCATTCAAGACTTGTGTTTGTGTTTTCCCAAGAAACTATCCCTCCTTTTTCTGTGGGAATTGTGCTCGTGTGCCTCAAACCGGCAGGTTTGGAGAATGATTTTGGAGGAGGACGTACCTTTTCTTCTCAAGGCGGCATTGTTGCGGCGACAAAAACGGACTCTGGGGATCTCTCAGCGGTGAAAGCGAACGCCTAGTTACCTACGATCAGACGACCTGCAGTGACTCAGCGAAAAAGCATCCGGACGTGGTCCCGAGCTCCCCGCGGCTGATCGGGAGGGGCAGGTTGAATACTCGCACACGGGGCAGATCAGGGATCAGCTGCTGGTGTTCATTCTTCTTCTGGCCCTGTGGTGTCCCCCTCTTTGTCCTTTTTCCTTTTTGGGCTGTTTCTTTTTAAGTGCATGTCTTTTTAAAAGACATTTGCAGATGAGCGATGGCAACAGGGGGAAAAAAAAAAAAAGTACACGTTGTTCTGCACCGATGGGCCGGTCGCAGTTTTACGTCCCGTCACGCCGGTGTGTGTGTGTGTGGGCAGAAAACAACTGATGTTGCAGAAGCTATTTTTTACACCTGGGGGAAGCGTGACGCGGTCGGCGTTCCTTGTCTTGCCTGTATTGAGTCACGGTTACGTCATTGTACAACAATGAGTAACTCGCAACAAACCCTTTTTATAGCGCGCAGGACGTTTGTTTTAGTCTTAAGCATCAGTTGATGAGAGGCGGATAGAGCGGCCGTCCCTGCAGTGAATGGTTTGCAGCGGCGTTTGATGGAGCGATGATGCGCCCCGTCTCCCGTCCCCCCCCCCCCCCTCTCCTGATGAGCAACACGCGTGCTCATTAAGTGTGCAATGTTTACATGGGCTCCACGCTACTTGTATTACTAGCCCGGCTACGTCTCCCGTTTCCCTCCCCCGGAGGCGTGCAGGTACACACTGTTTAGAAAATACGCTTTGTGTAGGAAACTATCCGTCTGTGTGCGGTGTACACATCGTTGGCATGATCTAGTTTTCATGCCTCTTCACGTGTTCGTTTGGTTCGTGGTGACCGGCTTCCCTGCAGCAGGTTCACCATTCAGTGGCTGCAAAGTGGACACGCGTTTGTGGGGGGAAAAAGCGTAATCGACCAACCGCGTCGGGAGTTTGTTCCGCTCCTGGAAAGTGATGCATCAGCACAATGTGATCCCAACGTAACGACCAGGAGCCGCTAAGTGTAACCTGCCGATGTAGCTTCGTCTGCTATTTGTGAATTATGGATGAACAATGCCGGGCAACCAGCGTGGCGCCGACGGCCTTTTAGAAGTCGCGTCTGATGTACTTTGCGTTAGCGGCGCATTAAGTGGTCGAATGTTGCTTTTGAACCAGCGGCGCTCGGCGTAACGCAGGCGCGTGCCCTTATGAGTTTACTGTACTTTTATTTGTTGTGGTTTTCAGTATTTTGTCACTCGGTCATGTTTGTTTACCCTCAATTCTCTCTGCTCTCTGTTTCCAGAGGTCCCCCAAGTTTCAAGAGAAGACGAAAGCCTTATTTAGAAATCTTATGGACGAAGGTTGGTATCCATTTGTTTTTTTTTCTCCCTTTTCTTCCCCCTCAGTCTCCCCCATCCGTCCCTCTGTTGGTGTAACAGCTGCGGTTTAAGAACAACACTTCCAGCAGCTCATTTTTCGTGTTGACAAACTCCCCAGTTTGCTGCGAGCGGCGTTCCGCGGGGGGGACGTCTCTCCGCTGCTTTCTTTTTGGTCCCGTTTGCGTTGCTGCTCCAAAACAAAGAGGACTGTTTGTGTGCGTGTGTGTGTGTGTGTGTGTGTGTGTTTCTCCTCTCGGTCATGGTCCCTCGCCTCCCTGACACGAAGCGGCATCGCGGCCGCTGTTCTGGGTCCCCGGAGGGGACGCTCCTTTCCCACGAGCTGCTGTTTCTGCCTAAATGCCCACTTGGGGGCGGAATGTAAATAAAGCCGCCCCGAAGAAGGTTGCTGACCCATGCGGGTCCCTTATTCCGGCCCTTTTTATCTGGGCGGTGTCTCTTCTTACCCCCCCCCCCCCCCCCGCTCTCCCAATGTGCAACTGAACAAGCGATACTCTGTTGCTCGCTGCTACGTGTTGTTTTGATATGCTGCCCACTCGCTTCTGCAGCCAACGTTAACCAGCAGACGTTTGTGTCAACACTCTGCCTTAAAGTGAGTGAACCTTGTCTTTTATCATGTTCTCACCGTATTTCTACAATCCCCTTGTATTTGTACTGTGTGTGTGTGTGTGTGTGTGTGTGTGTGTGTGTGTGTTGCTCAGCCAATCAGAGGCAGCGTGTCATTCGCTCCTTCAAGCCCTCCTGTGCTCCGGCGACACGTGATCTCTTTTAGAATTACAACCTCAGGTCCATATTTCGACATCGCATGGCTGCGTTGAAGCTCTACAGAATTCTCTCCAGATCTGGTGCGGCAGCTCGGGAGTTCCTCCACTGTAGGACCCCCCCCCCCCCCCCTCTCCGGGCCTCCGCCGCTGCAGTGTTGTTCTATTTCAGTGAAGTATATTCAGCCGTACAGTTGTTCTGCTGACTGAGCTGCAGTCCGTGTTCTTCCTGTTCACTCAAAACCATTCACCTCTTTTTTGCTGCTCTCACCCACTTTAAGTTGCTGACCTCGCTGAGAAATGTTCACGACACACGCCAGTGCGAGTGTCCTGAGTTGTGTAACTATCGAAAAACCTTCCTACCCCTGTTTTTTATAGAGTGTCTTTAATTTGGAAACGTATGTTCAAAACTGCAAATTACCGCTCGCAGCATTTTCTTAAACGCTGTTGGAAGTCCGGGAGGCAAATCTGGTCCCGCCGCTCTTGCTGTTGGCACGCTGGCCCGGTTAAGGCGGCCTATTCGTGGCCACCGAGGCGTCCCCCGCCTCACCTCGGCAGACGTGTCTGCAAGCCAAGGTCCGGGTGCCGCTAGCGTGCTCGCTGACGTGCGGGTCCAGTTGGTGCCTCGGTTTTGGGAGGGGCCTCACGCCCCCCCCCCCCCGACGGTTGTGACCGCCGCCTTCTAGCGGCACTGCCCACTAACCAGCTGGACCCGTGCAAGTAGTGATCGCGAGGACAAAAGCGCCGCGGGCGCCTTTTTCGGATTGACGAGCTTTGAGCCGCCACTATAAAGCTTTGGCGGCACTTTAGCCCGATTCTCTTCTTTTGTCTCTACCGCCCACTTATCCTGTCGTCTCCCTCATTTCCTCCCCCTCCCCTCCCCCCGTTCCTTGTCTCCCCCGTGCTGCACCCGTCTGCGGGTAGAGCTATGAAAAAGGATGAACTCTGCCAGGTAGCAGAGTGGGTGGGGGGGACACAGACATGCACAGTCATCCCACCCAAAGAGCCAACAGGTGAAACGTCCCCAGTCCCTCCCTCCCTTTTTTCTTTTCCACACCCACACATCAGAGTCCCTCCTCCCTTTTTCTCTCCCCCACATATTTGTGTATGACTTGTTACCTTATCCTCCAGTAGCTCTCCTTGGGCCCTGTTTCCTTAACACTCACCTAATCTCCCGCCCGTCACGTGTTCTTATTCTCTGTGCTCCACAGGCCACCCCGCACTTAAACACTAACCCGTTACCAAGGCAACTGCTCAGCACGATAGAAAACGGCAGTTACGCCCCCCCCCCCCCCCCACACACACACACACACACCACATCGGAGTTCACTTTACTGTCTGGTGGTTCTTTTTTACATTTACCGACCGAGACAGTCTGTGCAGCTCCGACTCGTTGCCGTGGCGATAATGGACAAGTTGCACACACACACACAAGGCTCCGTCTGTGTTTTTGTACTCGTTCCTCGTATAGTGTCACGGAAAGACCGTTCGCCCCGTCCCCCTAAAGGGTGCAGATGCTTCAAATGAACTCCACACGTGTGCAGTTAACAGCGTCGCGTTGGTTCGAGGCACTGTGGTTACAGATGTGACGTAGCCTCCAGCTGTCACACAAGTAGGAAAGTGTGGTCCACAGAAGTGGTTAACCTCACCGGTCGCTTCTGTAAAGCAAGTTATTTGTGTTATAAGATTTATTCTGCATTTCTGCACGCACTGAATCTATGAAGGGAAAATGCCCCATTTAATCAAAGCTTTTCAAAGTTTATTGTTGATGGCTGAACATGCAGTATGTGGCACACGCAAAAAATTCAATTGAACAGGAAATGAAACCCTAATTAAAAATGTGCATCTGATCACGTGCTAAGCAACCCTCCTTTTTTTTTTTTTTTTTTTTTACAGAAATGAGTCGCCAGACTGCCACCGCGCTGCCCACCGGAACCTCCAAGTGCCCCCCCTCCCAGCGCGTGCCCACCCTGTCAGGCACCACGGCCTCCAACAGCGACCTGGCGAGCCTGTTCGAGTGCCCGGTCTGCTTCGACTATGTCCTCCCCCCCATCCTGCAGTGCCAGTCCGGACATCTGGTACGCCGCGTCCAGCCCGGGAGCTGCTTGTTGTGTGCATTAGGTCTTACACCTCAAACCGTGTGTCTCCATTTTATTTATTTATCTTGTTCCTACAAACTGTTTTATTTGCGGCGACATTTCAAGAGAACGAAATTGTTGAGAGATTCATTTCAGGTTTGGCGTTGAGCAGAACACCCTGTGCACGGAAAGCCCGCTAACTCGTTGTCCGTGTCCCGTCCCAGGTATGCTCCAACTGCCGGCCCAAACTCACCTGCTGCCCCACCTGCCGGGGCCCCCTGGGCTCCATCAGGAACCTCGCCATGGAAAAGGTGGCCAACTCTGTCCTCTTCCCCTGCAAGTACGCCTCGTCGGGCTGCGAGGTCACCCTGCCCCACACCGACAAGACGGAGCACGAGGAGCTGTGCGAGTTCCGGCCGTACTCCTGCCCGTGCCCCGGCGCCTCCTGCAAGTGGCAGGGCTCCCTGGACGCCGTCATGCCTCACCTGATGCACCAGCACAAGTCCATCACCACGCTGCAGGTCAGACGCGGACACGCGTTTTTCTATTTATTTCAAGAGCCGCCGTCCGACACGACGAACTAACCCGCCGTGACGTGTGCTTGTCTCCACCAGGGCGAGGACATAGTCTTTCTGGCCACGGACATCAACCTGCCGGGCGCCGTGGACTGGGTGATGATGCAGTCCTGCTTCGGCTTCCACTTCATGCTGGTGCTGGAGAAGCAGGAGAAGTACGACGGCCACCAGCAGTTCTTTGCCATCGTGCAGCTCATCGGGACGCGCAAGCAGGCCGAGAACTTTGCCTACCGGCTGGAGCTCAACGGGCACCGGCGGCGCCTGACCTGGGAGGCCACGCCGCGCTCCATCCACGAGGGCATCGCCACCGCCATCATGAACAGCGACTGCCTGGTGTTCGACACGTCCATCGCGCAGCTGTTCGCGGAGAACGGCAACCTGGGCATCAACGTCACCATCTCCATGTGCTGAGAGCTTTCAAGAGGAGAAGGATCCAAAAGTTACAGATTGTCGGGGGGGCATATATATATATTTTTTTTTAAAAATGGGTCAAATCGGTCGTGACCTCGCAGTGCCCCACCAACCCCCTTTCCCCCCCCCTCCTCCCCCTTCCTCTTCTCTGCTTCACCCCTCGAGACGCGGAACTGGGCTGTGGTTGGGCAGCCGTGGACGCCCCTTTGGGTGCGATGGAGGGACGAGAGGAGGGACGAATATTCACATGGACGATGCCTACAGACACACACGAACACGCACACGCACAGATGGACGTATCACATGTGAGACTCTGGTTCATGCAAACTGAAAGGCAGTTCAGTCAAACTGCTGCAGGTGATTTTCCTCATCACTTCCCTCAGTCCTCCGGAGACATTTCAGGCCCTGCTGCTGTGCTCTGACGGCACCACACGACCAAGACGGACTCCTGGTCAGTGCTCTTCAGCTACTCCCCCCCCCCCCTACACACCCCCTCCGCCTCCCCCAGCCCTGATTCCTTAAGGTTCGTAGTCTGCCTCCGACGTCCTGCCCCTCGATCGACCGGTTGACAACGTGGCCGCCGGCGTGGCCTCAGAACCCGAGGGGTTTTGCCTGTGGCTGCTGGCGGGCCTAAGGGGGCCGCTTCCGCCCGACACGGGGCGCCCGGAGCCCGGTCCGGGATGGCGGTGCGTCTCCAGGGCTGCGGACGGCGTCCCTCCGGTCCCGAAGGCTGAAGATTGAGCATCAAATGCTCTTTAAGTAGTTGCCCGTCGTCGTCGTCGATAGTTCTTAGAACGGATGCTGCTCTCATCCTGTACGGACGCGGTTGCCCTGTTTGTTTGTTTTGTTTGTTTGTCTCGCACACAAAACCCACACCTTTCATTACAGACTGTGTGCCGGTGTAAGTAATAGTGGATCAATTGAGTCGGTGCGTTCTATAGGAGACTTCTTTTTTTTTTTTTCTCCCCCCACTGCATTTCAATTGAGTGCGTTTTTCTTCTGAGGAATAATTTTTTTTTTTTATGTCCCGTTTCTTTTTAATTCTTTTAGTTGTCTTTTTCTATGAGGTCCGTGTGTGTGAAGTGCACGTGTGGCAAACAGCCGCTCGTCTTTTTATTTGTCCTTCGACCACTGATCAACTGACCGCGCAACCAGGAATGAGGGACAGTTTCTACCGTTACAATGTGGCTATTGTTGTTGTTATTAAATGGAGATTATCATAATTATCTTATTTTGTAATGACTTTTAAAATGAAAAGGCAGTTGTAAAACTTGTGGCTAAAACTTCAGTGTTTTGTAGTTGAAAAGCAAGTTGTGTCGTTCTTCTGGAGGTTTGTGTTTCCCCCCCGAGTTGGATTGGTTTACCTCATCTGTTTGTCTCTGTCCTCTTGTTTGTGTGTCCCTTTTATTGTCTACGAGGAGGGAGGGAGGGAGGGAGATCAAGGCATTCATCTCTCCTTTTGCTCTCCGTGTGGAGTCTCCGTATGTTGCTGCTCCTCCTCAACTCCTTTTACTTTGTTTGTTTTAATTTGTCATTAAATAAATCTATCTTTTTCATACCTGCTTCTTCTTCTTCTGTTTCCTTTTGCCGTCGGACCTCAGATCCCGACGCGACATTTCTTTCTCATGACCAATTCAGAATAGAATAGAAAAAAAAAAGGAAGCGCAAATCTCAGCTCACGGTCAAATTTAAGGATTTTTTTTTTTTACATTTTATATTCTCAAAGTGTGTGTTTATGTACGTACACCCCTTGGTTGGGCACAGCGACAGAACAGAAGCCACATCCTTTTTCTTTTTTCTCAATGCTCTTGTGTTTACAGGTCGGGTTGTCTTGAGTTGAGCTCATGCCGTCATAGTTAAAAAAAAAAAATGCAACATGGTGGTGTGACTGAAATATTTTTATATGTTCTGTAGAAAATGATTTGCGACCTAGAATTCCCTGCTTCTGGTCCCAGTGGGAAGGAACCTAAAGCGGTAGATTTCCCGCTGTGCGGCTCTCCGGTGTGAATCCTTTTTATTCCCTCAACAAAAGCCGACCGCTGGTTCCTTCTTGCGATTGTTTCCAGAGATGCGGTGGCTCCTTGCAGGCTGCGCATTGGTCTCCTACGACCGTTATCTGAGGTGATGGGAGGTCAGGAAAGGGAGACGATATTTTCTGAAGGCCTTTTAAAAGATGACTATATAGAAATGGCTGCAATCCTTAAACTGAGAAGACATGGACCTTAAATGACGAAGGTTGGAGAACATTAAAAATACACCTCCAGTGCTTCAAGATCAAATCTTCAACCTTTTGATTCCATCTACTATGCCAGTTAGGGATATAATGTAAAAAAACGCCAATAATCTGTAAAATCTGGACTTTTGAGCGGAATTGCTGATATTTGGAACGTCGGCGAGATTAACAGGATGTTCTGTTTTGATTTGAATAAACAGGATAAATTCATAGTTATCAATGGTTTACGTAGTTGCACCACTTGAAATTAGTTGCATTAATTACAGGGTTTTGTATTTCACTGTAAAATATTGGTTCGCAGATCCGAATACCAAGAACTGGACAGAATCATCTGCAAAACAAATTGGTTGGTTCAAACCTTTTCTCCGGTCCCCTTTCTGGCCCTCATGTGGTCTCACGTGGTAAAAGAGACAAAAAAACATTTGAATACTCCGCTGATGTTCATGTTGTGACCCGGGAGGAGGAGTGTGAAAGCCCATGATGCGCAGGGGAGGACATGACCTGCATGTTATGGGCTTTGACCCCCAACGCGTCCGGTGCCCGTCAAGTATTCAAGGTGTTCTGTGTGCGAGCGGATTGGGGAGCAGATTCACACAGTGGATTCACTGGTTCAATGTTCCTACGCACAGTGTTTGAGGTGTCGTCCTTTTACCAAGAACTCCGTTTACATCCGGAACCTGAGTTTTCAACTAAAAGATGTTTTCAGAAATATCATTTTAGTGAAATATAACTCACCTTGGCCGCTTGGACCAGAGGCCAAAACGGCAAAAATGTCAGAAAAGGGAAAAAAAAAGAAAATTTAATAGAAATGGTTGTCTAACAATATTTACACATTAACTCAATATGCCCGGGACAAAGATTATTATTATTATTCAATGTCTTTATTGATCGTATCTCTTGGTGTCGGCGTGTTTCTGACTGGACTGGCATCTGATGTTTGTTTCAGAACTACACCCGACCTCCTTCGGGCGGATGGGGCACCGAACGTAAAGTGCGGGCGGCTGCAGGCTCCAGCTGGGACTTGGCCCGGGAGGTCCGGAGCGGGACCTGTGTGGCCCCTGGCTCGCCGCCTCTTTTGCTCAAGGCCTCCCTCCTCAAATCCGCCGTTTCTCCCTCGGGTGCTTCTTTTCGGTGGGCCGACCCCTCGTGGACCAGCCGCTCGCTCGCCCGCTTTCGACTTCCAACGCGGCGACCTCGCTGCTCTGCTCTCTTGGAGATCAGATCAAGAGGCGGAGGCTTTGAAAGTTGCTCCTTCGGCCCCTCGTTCTGCCTCCCCTGTGCGTTGGCTACGTGATCGTTCCTCTCGGCTTTTTTTTTGTTTTCTTCTCCTGAAGTTGGTTTGACTCGTTCTGGAGTTTCTCAACCTCCTGCTGAAGGACGCGGATTTGATCCATGAGGCGTTTCTCCTGCCTGCTCATGCTCATTCTTCCTTTGCAGGCAGCTGCCCAATCGGGTATCGTTTTTCTTTCGTTACCTGGTTCAGTCGTTCCTCCCGTTGAAGGAAAAAGGTACGTTCCTCCTTCGCGGCTCTGCGCAGATCTTTTATCTGCAGCTGCTTTCTTAGGTCAGTGAGCTCTTTCTTGGTGGGCGTCTCGTAAGTAAGATGCTCCGCTTCCTTTAACCTGTAAACACTATTTTCCTCAGTGAGAATAACATTTTCCACGTGAATTCTTCTCCTTTCCCTCAGTTTAAATGAGAGATCTTCAACCATTTGTTCTCAGCTGGTTTTCACTCGCGTCAGACGAGTAATCCGGTTCCACGTCACAGAACTCCATCTTTAGTACGAGAAGTCAGCGCTTCGTTGCTCCGGTCTGATCCGTGTTGCAAATGGAAACCCGGTGGATTGTGTTTCTGTGCTCCAGAACCTGAACGCGCTCCGTTGTATCCTCACATTCTGTGTTCTGGATCTCAACTCACAGGAAAAGGCCTCTTATTGGGCCTCGCCCACCAAACCCAAGAAGGGTCTCTTTTCACAATCATGATATGAATCAAAATGGCACGTTTAAATGTCATTATTCCAATATTATATTAAGGAAAATAATAATATTCCTAATGTTCGTTGTTTTTTTTTACCTTTTTGGTCCTGAGAAGCACCTGTAAAAATTCCCCACCCCATCATTCATCACGATTTTAATGAAACAACCTGCGTTGCCGTCTTTCGATTCTCATTTGGTTGGAAAGGAAACTATAAAACACTTGATCGTCCTCCACGACAGCTCATGTAAACACACTTAAGAATGAAACGTAAGCCAAACTTTACGTAGAGTACATCAGTCCCTCGCGTCGCCCGGAGAGACTTTATGTGAATACAGCTTCTCACTGCTGCCCCCAAGTGGCCAAACCCAAGTTGCTGCAAGCTCGGACGCTACTCGTCCACATGAATGAGACACACATACTGTGGGCCGCTGCATGCGTTACACTTTCTTTCATTTGTTTTCATCATTTGAAAGTAATTGAAAAACGCAACAGATCCCACAAGGACTCGCGTTGTCTGTGGAAGTGTCTGCGTGGTGTCGCAGACTCCACATATGTGGCGGGTGCGAAACCTGAACGGAGGCCTTTGATGGCGTTGCGTGTCTGTAGAAATGCTGCACACCTGCATTAATCATTTCATGGCTGTCTGAATGAGAGAGACAGAGACAGAGAGACATTGCACGCTGGTGTTTCAGATTACGTCGCTACGGGGTGGAGAAGGAAAAAAGAAAATCACATCCGTGGGACAGAGTTGGAATTGCTTTTTTTTTTTTCTGCTTCAGATTGGAATCAGCTGGGATACAGATTTCTCTTTTTTTTTTACATTTTAAAAGTCATTTTGAAGAACAAAGGTGCGTCTTTAGAAACTAACGCTACAGTGTTTTACACCACTCGTCTTTTATATGACAAAAATAAAAAAGTTAAACCTATGCATGAATCAGCACTTCAGTAGGAAACCCAATTGCTGTTGCGTAAGCTTGCTGGGCACCAGCGTGTTATCTGCAGGGTGTGCAGTATGTACACTACGTCACGTGTCATTTAGCTGACGCTTTTATGCAAAGCGACGTACAAAAAGTGCATTCAACCATAGGGACACAAACTCAGGAGAGCAAGAAACAAGAAAGTGCAATTTCCTCAAATAAGCCAATTTACAAGCTCCACAAACGTAGCAGAGGCCCCGGGATTCTCCCGGTGTACTTTACAGTTGGTTGCATTGTCCGTGCCTCCCCCGCTGTGTGTGTGTGTGTATATGCAAACTGGTGTGGATCCAGCTGTGGGACCTACACAGCTTGCATCTGGATGCAAACGGCAGAGATGGCGTCTGGACCCGTGGCCTCGTTGACATTGATCCGCTTAAAGACCATAAATCCACATTTATTTGTGGGTTTCATGTTGGTGGCTGTTTTCATGGAGTTCCACAAGTGTTTTGGGTTCACGGCCTGGAGGGTTTCCCTCTGTAGCAATTAGCAACTATGAATATTACATAGCAACTATGTGTGACACCCCTGATGTATGTAGTTGCAATTAGTCGAAACCGTTGTTTTAATCCGGGCAGCTCGGCCGACATGATGCAAGAAAAACGATGTGTTTTGGCTTGAGATCTTTTTATTATTTTAAAATGAGTCCAGGAAAAAGATTCCATAGCGCAGGTTCGTATCCGATACCTTCTGAATTGATCAAAATGATTGCAGTCATTTGTCACATGCCACCAAACGGGAAAGCTGCTCTGAATGATCAGTTTTATATTAAAAAAACCCAACTTGATTTCAAATGAATTGTGTACATGTTTTTTAAATCTCTTTCTTACATTCAAACGCCACGGTAATTAGTCGTTAGGGACATTTTCACATTGTAAACACCCTCATTACATCAAATTTATAATCAGGTTTATAAGATCTGACGCTGAACCCCGAGGGGGTTAAATAGGAAAATAATCCTCAGATCTCAAAAGCAAAGAGCCAACAGAAAGTTACGGTCACACAACAAAAGTCCAAGCTGATGACCCACTCTGCCCTTTTAAGTCTATTACAGTTTGCTGCTCAGCTGAGGGTGGGGGTGGGTGTGGGTGTGGCCCGTCCCCGGAAACCCTCCGTCAAAGGCGGCGTTCAGCACCTCGTCCAGGTCGGCGGCCGTGACGAAGTCGAGGTCGGCTCGGACGTTGGCCGGAAGCTCCTCCAGGTCCTTGCCGTTGCGTTTCGGGAGGATGACGCGCTTCACTCCGGCCCTGTGGGCCGCGAGGACCTTGTCCTTGATGCCGCCCACCTGGGGGGGGGGGCGAAAGCGACCCACCCAGTCGGGTTAAAACCAAGTGAAGCCTCCACACTCCTCGCCATTTGCGCTGAAACGTGAAATCGCTCACCGGCAGCACCAGCCCCCTCAGCGTGATCTCTCCCGTCATGGCGACGTCCGATCTGACCAGTCGGCCGCTGAACAGCGAGGCCAGGCATGTTACTATGGTAACGCCGGCAGAGGGGCCGTCCTTGGTGACGGCTCCTGCTGGGAAGTGGAGATGGATGTCGGTCCCTTCCAGCGGGTCCGGGCCGCCGCCCACTGTTAGAGACCCGAACGTTCGTTAAAGGAGCGTGTGTGTGTGTGTCAGAGATGCTCACAAGTCTCTGAGCTAGAGTCCAAGTCTCAAGTCTCTGAGCTTGAGGTCAAGTCTCTGAGCTAGAGGTCAAGTCTCAAGTCTCTGAGCTAGAGGTCAAGTCTCAAGTCTCTGAGCTAGAGGTCAAGTCTCTGAGCTAGAGTCCAAGTCACAAGTCTCTGAGCTAGAGACTTGGGACTTGCACTCAAAGTCCCAAGTCAAAGTCTCTGAGCTAGAGGTCAAGTCTCTGAGCTAGAGGTCAAGTCTCAAGTCTCTTGTGGTTATAAGAAGTGTTGCCACACGTATATTAGCTTACAATTATATGTCCAACAAAGCCCATCTGATACCACGAGGTTATGAACTGATTAAATGGTACTCTGGGTAAGAAAATATTGCAAAATGTATAAGCGATGACTATTTGTTTTTCACTTGCAGAGCGTAAACATTCGTTCCCGTAACGTCGGGTCGTAGCTAAAGCAAGACACAAGATAACGGTGGATGGTCACTGCTCGCTTAGCTAAACATGTTTACTCACCTATCAGGGTGAGTTTTCAGAGGCCGGATAAAATTGGACGTGGTTGAGGCCGAATCTTTTATGGTAATACCGCAGAAATTGCGTTTCGCGGTTCTTTTTTGTAGGAAAGTCCGAGTCTGTGTGTGTGTGTGTGTGTGTGCGCGCACTCACTGTTGGTGAGGTGGTAGGTTTTAGCATTTGCTCTGAGCCAGCTGATCGCCAGATGGGCGGATTCTTTCATAACGTCTCCAAGCTGACCGGTCAGGGTGAGCTGACCTTCTCCCTCCATTCGACTGGCCTCCACAAACAGAATCTCCCCCCCCAGGGGGGTCCAGGCCAGACCCACAGCCACACCTGGCAGGGTGAGCCTCTCAGACACCTGCACACACACACGCACACACACACGCACACGCACAGAGTTGGTGGAATATTCCGAATTCAAGTGGCCTTGTAATCTTCTTTCAATCAAAAGGCCGACATGATGAGACATGAGGACAAGTGCCAGCAGCGTGATCCCGACTTTATGAAACATCTTCACATTAATGAGGTGCGAGAACATTCCAGAAACTCAAGACAGCCGAAGGGGGAGGGGGGGGGGGCTTCTCACCTCCATTTCAAACAGAGGAGGCCCCAGGATGTCCCTCAGGGCCACGTGGTCGATCACTATGGGCATCTCGGGGGGGGCCGCCGCCTTGTCTGAGCGCATGCAACAAATTGAAAACGGTTTTCAGAATAAATTCATGACGCAGCCCAAAACGATCTGCGTTACACGTAGGGCATTAAAACATTTACGTCCACGTCAGTGGAAATCGCGTGGTCACGTAACTGAAACATGCTATGAAGTTCATACAAACGCACAGTAGGTGGTGCAACGCTCCACACGGCCCACATGTGATACAGAACGATGGAGCTCAGGGTTACACAAACACACACGTTATGCATTATGCAAAATGCAGATATACATTAAACCGTGGAGCTGGAAACCGTCAACGGGGACAAACTCCACCCACGTCAGCGCTGGATGCCCCCTGCACCCCGTTACCTGGCAACACGAGAGGTCTTTCCACCGAGCCGCACGAGACGACTCGCTGAGCCCCCCAGCTCTGATCCACGTCTCCGATTGATTCCTGATTACTTCATCTAGGATTTTTCTGCCCTTTTTTTATACAGAAGCAGTCTGTGGTGAGTTGAATAAGTTGAACTGTGTTCACATTGATCCGCTTCCTTTTTTTGGAACCAAGTGCACGCAGTAGATCACACGTCCGCTCTGCCAACCAGGAATCTGACCCCCTCGTCCGTCCCGCCGAGACACAAACAGAGCAGAGAAACCCCCCCCCGGGCTCTTACCCCCCTGCTGTGGCGGACGCTCGGCGGCGGAAACGTCCGTCGCGGCGCCTCGCCGGCCTTCGGCGACTTTCACCGCCACCGCGCGGCAGATGGCCCCAAACTTCCTCTCCAGGGAACGCACGCCGGCCTCGCGGGTGTAGCTACAACGACGCACACAAAGACACACAAAGCAGATGAATACAGTTATGTGTGGGGGGGTCACATGATCGGAGAACACAAAGTGAGGAGTCTTATCCGCTCAAAATCAACTAAAGTAATCCGTTCTGACAAAAAAATGACATCTCACATTATGTGTTTTGGTCACTGTGACACAAAAAAAAACCAAGTCACATGTAACTTATTTTCTAAATAATGCGAAAAAGTGAAGTCAGGAGTATCCCTCTAAGGACGAGCACCGGGCTGTCTGCTGTTAGCCGTTTCCATGGTTACCAGTGAGGTAACCAGTGTTCTTTTTTTTTTAAATTTGACCGGGCTGTTACTAATATTAATGAAGCCATTTATTCCACCACTCGAATGTTTAGAACCTGAGTCTTTGGTTGTGGATTCTTTGTGAGAGCTGCTCTCAATCGAAGACGCCGGCTCCTCCGTCTCGTCTTTCGCTCCCATCTCTTACGCCACCTCTGCTCCCATCGGATCCCGCCGACCGAGGCGCACAGATGCAACTGATCCGCTCTCCCCCCGTGAGTTATGGCCCTTTTCTTTTCTCCCCTCGGCTGGCTTCAATCTTGGCAGGTCAGAGGATTCTTGTACGTGCTTCTCAGCGACGCGCCGGCTTCATCTTTGGCACGCGGCGGCGGCGGTGGTGGTGGTGGTCGTGCAGGCGCTGTTTGATTTAACAGTGACGTTGTCTCGTAATCTCTGCTCAGATCGACCCTTTGTGCCGGAGGCCCCCGCCCCCCTCAATCCCACACCGGCCGGGTGATTATCGTGGCCACATGAAACCGTGAGACAAACCAGATTGTCGACCCCTGACGTAGCGCGTATATTTCAACTTAACCCTCCCTCTAAAGGCCCCCACCCTGACCCCGCATAACCTTTACCAGATGGACGGAAACGCGCCGTGGAGGAATCTGGTGCTCACGCCACCACCAGGACCGGCCCTGAACCAATGGAAGCCCCCCCGCTCGTTTCACCGCGTATGTGTTTTTTGCAGAAACCCCCTGCGCACCTGCTGATGACGTCCTGGGTGGTGTCCTGCGGGACGTGCAGCTGCTGAGGCGTCAGTCCATGCTGCTCCAGCTGGTTTGGGATCAGGTGGCGGTGAGCGATCTCCACCTTCTCCTCCCGGGTGTAGCCTGAAACGCGACAGGCACACACACACTTTGATAAAACAGCGACCTCGGCTTGAGCGCCGCACTCTTATAACATCGCCGGCGATCCGCTGGGGAATTCGACGCAGCAGCGCTTTCCCTTTTTCGACACGCCGGCGAAGTCCCCCCCCCTCCCGTGATATGCTAACCCTGAACCTGTTGTCATAACTCTCGCCAGTCACAGCAGGGTGTGTTATTTCGCAGCCTTTAGACGGAGCAACGGGAAGGGAAAAAATGACAACTACTACTTTCCTCAAAACAGGCGGGATTCTATCAGGTTCACCTTCTCCCGTCCGGCGGCATTTCTGTCCTCCCCCGCCGTGTCTCATGTCAAGTCTTCATGGACCTCAGGTTGTGAAACAAGCTACCGATCGATTCTTTCCGGCAATAAATCGAGTACCTGCGGGTCGTCGCTGGACACGCAGCCGGACGGCCTCGACACACGTGCACTCAACTTGGGAACTGCTCCGTCACCACGACGGGGACCGTTGCGACCTGAACTCACCCGCTACCTGCAGCACCTCCATCCTGTCCAGCAGGGCGGGGGGGATGGTCGCCGTGGTGTTCGCGGTGGCGATAAAGAGCACTTGGGAGAGGTCAAAGGCCACGTTGAGGTAATGGTCAGTGAAGCTGTGGTTCTGCTCCGGGTCCAGGACCTGAGAGAGATGCAAGACATCCGATACCGATGGAAGAGGATTCCTCCCAACCCTCGTCATCAAAAAACAACGTCACGTCTTCTCCTCACCTCCAGCAGTGCGGCCGCCGGGTCTCCCTGCAGGCCCCTCCCCAGCTTGTCCACCTCGTCCAAGAGGAACACGGGATTATTCACGCCGACCGTCTTCAGGCCGTTGATAATGCGCCCGGGCATGCTCCCCACGTACGTGCGCCTGGGGAAACCATTTGAAATCATTTGCTTTACGCACAGGCACGTGAATTGATTGAGTGTGGGAGGGGCGGGAATCTCTTGGCACCTCACGATTCCGATTCCAAACCGATTATCGATGCATCTCGATTTTCTAAATCCTCTCAAATCTGAGTTTGCTACTCAGAGGTTGCTAATCACTTCCTACTTTATTTGATAATTAAAGAAAATCAACAGATGAATTACCTTCTCTAATTTTTTATAAGAGAAAAAAAAAGATCTTTGTCAAAAATATGATTTTCTATCAACAATCGTTTTTCTTTTAAATGAAGAAAAAGCTGCTCTTAGTCTCAGACCGGTCCGTTTTTGTAAAATACTGGAAAAAAGTCCAAATCTGTGAATATCTTGCCAACTTTCAATGCGGGTCGACTTTTTGGAAAATGGAAATAATGAGGTAAGATGTGCGCAGGCTCCTCCATAGTTCGGTAAAGTTATTAGATATTCAGATTCAGACTGACGGACCGGTCTGCGAGCTGGACGCGTTGCTCTTAATGTGCCGTAATGATGGTAAATGATGGTTGTAGCTGGTTGTCATCTACGGCCCACTACGGTTACCCAAGGGGGGCCAAAAGACGGGTTTGTAACCAATCAGGTGTAGAGACCATGGTGACTGGCTCCGCCCCCTCACTGTCAGAAAGAAAAACAGCGAGCGCGTAGAAAACACCTTGGAGAGCGAGCAAATATCTCGCGCGAGACAGACTTTTTCTTATTTTTTTATATTCCGATAATTAACCTTTCTGAATCGAGACCGAATCGATCAAGAGAGAATCGAGAGAAATCGAAAAATCGCGTGAGGAGTCGTCACATGTTTGCGTTCCCGTTTGTCACGTCGCAGCGGGACGGTAACAAGAGAGCAAGCGAGAGCGCGCAGGCGGTGGCGTCCCTCTGGCCTCCGCTCGGGCCTTTCAGAGGGTTCATTTCTCCCACAGACTCATCTGGCTTTCATCGCGGCGTTTCAACTTCTCTTTAGAAAATAAGTGGATTGCCTCTGCAAGCGGAGATGTGTGTGTGTGTTTTGACAGAGATAAGACGCGGGAAGCAGATCGGGCCGATCAAAGACGAGCTGCGTGAACCCACGGCCCGAAACTCCCGTGACCTTTGGGCCGACTCGCGTTACGGAGGCTCCGTGGGAGTCAAACCATCCACTTGCTTGGGTTGTTGCCTGTTCGCGGGTCCACCATTCGTTACTCCCGATGTGGCGGTGATCTCTTATTTCTACTTTTCCTGTTTTTGAAAAGTGTGGATTATGGAATGAAAATTCATTCGATTCCCCAAAGATTGTCCACCGGAGACAATCTTTGACCTGACACACCCGGGCTGGATAAGTCGGGCCTGGCCAGACGCCGTTGATGGGGTGGACTAAAAATTGGCTGGGGATTCTATGTAATGATAACATGTGGATTGTTGTGTTTTTTTCCTCTGGGTGATCCTGAATCATTACGTTTGTCACACATTTTGGACAAAAGGCAGCGTTTCTTTGATTATTTTTTTTTGGCAGCAATAACCTTTCTTTAGTTTTTCTACAGTACATTGTATTCAATAAAAGTGACTAAACTTACTTTTTGGATGGTATGAAGCCAGAAATGCAGACATATGGCAAAATGTAGAGTGGTTTATACGAAAAGGAAACTGGATAAAAACAACGACTGTAGTTCGAACTGCTTCATCCAAAGAGCAAATAATTCACTCAATGACAAGCTGCCGAAGAACAAAGACCCAACCTCAGTAAATGAAGTCTGCGGAACACATGTGTAATTGAGGACGATATATATATATATATATATATATAATATATAAAATACATATATACATATATACAATATATATATATAATATATATATATATATATATATATATATATATACATATATACAATATATATACAATATATATATAATATATATATATGTGTTTTCACAGGTAATTCACATGTTTGTATGCAGTTTGCAGGCCTCGCCACTGTCCGGTACCTGTGTCCACGGATGTCCGACTGGTCACAGATGCCTCCTAAAGCGATGCGGTGAAACTCTCGGCCCAGGGTCCTGGCGATGGAGCGTCCTACACTGGTCTTACCAACTCCTGGGGGCCCCACAAAGCAAATGATCGGCCCCTGAAGACAAAAGCAACGGTATCAAATTTCAAAAAGTGACGAAAGTAAGGCACATAGAGAAACCCCCTCTTTTTGTCTTTCTATCTTTTTTGCGGCCTGATCTGTAGGACACACCTTCAGAGAAGTCTTCAGCTGTCTAACCGCGAGGTACTCCAGCACGCGTCTCTTCAGCTTGTCCATGGCATAGTGGTCGTTGTCCAACAGGGTGCGAGCCGCTTGGATGTCCAGGCAGTCTGAGGAGGGGGTGTTGAATGTGGACGGATCCCAGAGCGAGAGAGAGAGAGAGGGGGAAACGTTTGGGTTAGTGAAGGAAACAACAATTAGGAGGCAGGAGAGAAGGAGGGATGACTGGCTGAAGAAGTGAGGAGCAAGAAGAGGAAAGCGGTTTCAAAGACTGGACATTATTTTGTGGAGTCCTTTAACGTGGCGCACTGACATATTATGTTGTGGCCAGCCGGCACAAATACATTGTATCGTTTTAGGGCTTTGTGGGGGCAAATTTTACGCCTTGGACTTTCGATGGGAACATTTTGGTTTCACCTTTGCACTTTATCTGAAGCTCCTAACCACAGTTGTAATGCTTCACATGTTAGCAAACAGTTAAACACCCAGAATTTATGGAGCAAAATTAGCTTTGTGTGTTTGATAAACCTGATGAATATCGCCATCTCTCCACTAGATAAATGCACCACGTTGTCTCTTTGACCCAGTAAGCGAGTTGGTCGCAGCATTTCTCACTGAACGAAGCTGCAGGTGGAGCAGCAATGAGAGTGAAGAAATGAGCAGAGAGATGCTACAACACACCAAATCGGGGCAAAAGACACCAGCCTCCCTTTCACTTGCAAGCCGCCAGTGACGTTGAGGCCGCGGCGGTTGAAATAACGACGCCCTGAAGAAATAGAAATGGAAGCCCATTATGTAACCGGCCGTTAATCTGGTGCACGGCTCCGTTCGTGCACCAGATTGAAACCTACAATTGTCACAACCTCAGTAATGAACGCGTGACGTTTTAAACCCTTTTCTTTCAGCTGACCACACGAACGCAAGACCGATTACGTTGCAATATTCCGCACAGCGGCGACGACACTGTTACAGCCCCCACATAAAACATTAGGCTGGGTGGATTTCAGCATCATCTCCAGAGGATCTGAGGCATGTGACACGTGTGGCTTCCAGCTCCGTGTACCTTTGGTGCTTTTGCTCCATGGCAACTCTACCATCAAATCCAAGTAGTTTCTGGCCAGGGAGAATTCGGGCATTGACTGGGGCATCTTCTTCAACCTGAAAACAGAGGAACGAGAGGAGTCGTCGAAGTAGGACGGTGTTTGTGGGGATCGTTTTCAAAGGGATCCGAGAGAATGGAAATGATTCAAAAGGTTTGACAGCGTGCAAATGGGAAGACGGGAAAATGTGCGTCGGAAAGTTTGACAAAACTTTGCCTTACGCGATGCCTTCTTTTCACATTTAAACGTAACATTTTAAATACAAAACCAAATTTTGTTGTTTCTCCCCCCCCCCACTGATCACTTGTAGCACATTCCACTTAAAATATTCTTAGTAAAACAAAATAATCCTTGTTTTAATTGAATTATTGGTCCATGGTTATGGAATCCCAGTGAGCATGTGCCAATATTTAACCAAACATACACATTTATTTTCAATCAAAGACTACAGCAAATAGGGGCATACTATAGGTATAACAGCAGATGTTAAACGTTGACATTTTACGGTTAATTGCAGTATTATTCAAACAGGGGAGAAACATTTCACCTGTTGAGCTCTTTGAGGCAAACTCGGAGTGCGGCGTCCGACATCTTGGCCCTGTGAACCTTCTTTTCCAAGGCGGCGATGTCATCGCCGTCCTCATCTTCAGGCTCCTCACCCAGGTTGAACGGCCGACCCGAGACCACTCCCCCTTTACGCACCTGAACAGATGAGACGGGTAAACGAGGCTTATGCACGCACACACACACACACACACACACACACACACACACACACACACTTTGTTGAGAGCAAAAGCGCGAATGCAAATGTTTCTTACCCGCTTCTCATTTTCGGGACCTGAAGACATCTTCCTGTTTTTCTGCAGCAGTTTTAGTCCTTCTATTTGTCTGGTCAACATGGGCAGAGCTCTCTTAAATCGCTCCTCCAAGGTCAACGCATCCAGGACCTTTACAGCACACAGAAGCATCATTTCAAAAATACATTCCGCTCAGGGAAAAGCAAACGTTAATCCATTCGGTAATGACCAGATACAAATGTCCCCTGGAGAAAGACGAAGACGGACACGCTACCAAAACGGCACAAACCCTATTTAAAAAATGTGTCCCTGAATGTGCGACGAGCGGCGCGTTTGCTCTTTAACGGGCTCTTTAGATTGAAACTGTAAAAAAAAAAAATACAGCGAGATGCTGTAATGACACTTTCACCTCCCGTTTCGTCTCCGTTTAAGTCGTTTTTAGGTTTAAAACTTGGACCACACCCACCCGGCCGTTCGCCTCACCTGGAGTTTCTCCTTGTTTGAGGTGCGGATCATGGAGGCCACCACATCGGGCAGAGCCGCCCTGGGCAGACTGTCCAGAAGACGCCGGAACTTGGCCACCACTGGAACCGACATGTCCAACATACCCAGCAACTGTGCACACACACACACACACACACGTGGAAAGTTTTATGTGATGCACGATGAAATGCTGAGTTGTTGAAAGGGGCGAGACAAATGGATTTGACCTGCTTTGCCTAAAACAGACACAATGAATGTGTTGGAAGAACTGCAGGTTGGTGGAGCTAAATTATTATGGAATATATTAAGTAGTTATGAAGAAATCTGTGATTCAAGGAAAAGCCATCGTCGTAATTCTTATAATAATAAATTATCCCTGAGGGATCCCAGAGTTTTTGGAGAGCTGGAATGTTAAACTTTCTCCAGGATTTCTGGTATAGCTCAGAAATAAATTATTAAGCAAAGACGGACGATGAATCATTTTCCAAAAATTATATATAATCTCGTAAATTATAAGTGCTTGACGGCAGCAGCCTTGTACTTCTTCTCACGTAGTTCCAAGGTAACGCTGCAATGCAGCAGGAGAGACATCACCACTACTATGAATGAACCAAACAAACAACATTGGAAACAGATGTGTTTGACGAGAATCACTGAAGGAAACCTTTAAAAAGAGCCATGTTTAGGTGATTGACAAGTTATAGTGGCGTCGTAAAGGGCCTCAGCTTTGTTATGACGAGAGTCCCCAGTAAGCGTCGTCAGTGAGGAGCAGACGCGTTCAATGGCGCAATGAAACAGGCAATAAAAAGGGGTTATAAGAAAGTGTGAAGAGGTCCTCAAAGCGTTCAGCCACAAGCTGGCCGCCCAGAATATCCTGCAGTTTGCTGCAGCAGAATGAGAGACCGGCCACTGACGCGCCCATGCATGCACACTCACGCACACACTCATGCATGCACACACTCATGCATGCACACACTCATGCATGCACACACTCATGCATGCACACACTCACGCACACACTCGTGCATGCACACACTGATTCACACACTCGTGCAGACGTGCAGCGACCAATCTCAGCATCATCCTGGCGGCGACGATAAGCAATCCTTTTTTTTTTTTTCTGGTTAAGTAAGCCCGAAGGTGAGAGGCTCAGTTATTCTAAATCAGACGCGGATGTGCATCATGAACAATGACAACTTTACGCCCGTTAGACGAACACCAGTGAAGCTTTGACGAGAAATATCAACAGCTGGTTGAATGAACGAAGCGAGACGTTTGATTTGCAGATGCAAAAATGGAAGCAGCCGTACTTGAAATGCGCCGTGGTTTACTAAAGCAGCCCCCCCTCCCCTTACCCTCCCCGGATGGACAAAAATGAGCCCTTGAATACATTTTTAACCATTTGCTATGCTATGCAAGGTGAACTCTGAGCTAAAAGGGGAGTGGGGTGGGGGGGGGGGGGCAGCTTTGCCATTGGTTTGGCCTGTAACAGTTTAGTGCAGTCGTATTTAACGAACCCCCGTAGAAGGCCTGTGATTGACGCCTGGCCGATTGGGAGCGGTAACTCGCTCGGGGTAAAGGGAGGAGGGGGGGCAGCTTTGCCATTGGTTCGGCCTGTAACAGATTAGTGCAGTCGTAGTCGGGGGGGGGGTGTACGACTTCCGTGGACTAACGCCACGCTTCGTTTTCCTAATGAATGTCATACTGCTGTGAGTTCTCCCAAAGACAAGCACCTCAGTGTTCCGTTGGATGTAGGACCCTTAACTAAACCCACATGGAACCTGAAAAGAGTTTTATAACGTCCGGGTAGAAGAATCTCATCTGGTTTAAAAAGCAGAATGTCATTTAGCTGTAATACGATCCATTTCATTTCCATTCTTACATGTTAACATAGGCTGGCACGTTTCCACACACACACTGACACACACACACACACACCTGTACGGCAGCCTGGTAGAACTTGAGGGACAGCTCCCCTAGCTCGCCCTCGCTGGATGAGGCCCCCTCTGTTATCGGAGTCGTGTAATGCTCCAGTTTATCCAGCTGCTCCACCTGCAGTTCATTTTCCAATTAAAGAGCCACACGTTGATATCATCCACATTTGCATGGGTTAATTACTGAGTGACAGTTGTTTTAGTCCTTTAGTGAGGGGAGGGGCGGGGCATGATAAAGGAAACCCCCATAAATGCATCTTTGTCACGGCTTCATTGGGAATTAGCAGATGGGAGGTACCTTTTGGAGTTTTGGAGGATTGTTTGTACTGAAGGGCTGCTCGCTGTCGACGCGACAGATTATGGCGCGTTTCCACCGAGCGGTGCGGTGCTGTACGGGTCGGGTCGGTACCCTTTTATTTGTGTCTCCACTGACAAAAGTTGAGAATGGTACCAAAAATCCGAATCGTACCGAACCACTTTTTGGGTACCCTTCCGTTGGGGCACCTGGCACAGCTGTTTGGTATTAAAGGGGCGGAGCTAGACTCACTGCAGAGCGTCGATTGGTTGAAAGAGTGTCGTCATTCGCCGTCAATCTACTTTCCGTCACGTACCACGCCTATCAAGTGACGCCATCGCTACTTTCTGGAATACACCACGCCTATCAAGTAAGGGTACTGTTGGCGGTGGAAACGCTCCGCAAATCATGGTTAACAGACCCGACCCGAGCCGTACCGCTCGGTGGAAACGCGCCATTAGATATTGGAGACCTCCACATGTATGGTTGACATACAGGACCCTCCCCCCCCGGGGCCACTTTAGGAACAACTGTTAATGCGGTTCACCTCGGCCAGGACAAAGGGTCGCTCCTTCAGCAGGCCGGACACACTGAAGCGGCACAACCCGGTGATGAGGAGGGTGTAGTGGGGCTTCGGCCAGTTGCTGCCCACCACCTGCACCGCTATCCCCGCCGTGCCAATCCTACCGAGGCGGAGACAGACGAGGCAGTGGAAATCATTGAACAGGACATTTGTGAAACGCCCGCAAGCACGGAGCGGAGTTGATTTTGGGCGACTCAAAAAGGATTCGGCCTTTGGCTTCGACTTATGCGGCCTCAGGTGTCGCAATCTGTGCAACCCCTCCGTCCGAGGACGGGTTGCTGAATCAGCTTCCAATGGTCACACAAGGGAGAGAACATTGTTGTCCATTATGGAAGGTGATGGAAAAGACCGCCTACCTTGACCTCTACATTGCGTTGATAGCGTTGCCATTCAAGGATTAGAAAGACGGGAGAGAACACTTTGTTTACTCCTAAACGAAATACGCTTCGTAAAACGACGGGGCTACTGTCCTCATCCGGGCTGGATTTGAACCACGTCCCAGTTCCAAGAGGCCACAGACCTTCCGTCGACTCACTCTGAACCTTATTCATGAAGAAATGTATGTTTAGAAGTTCGTCCAGGAAAACAAGCTAGAATGGGGTTCATTATATTATATACATATCTATATATAAAACAATATAGGACACGCACAAAACACACACACACACTGGATGTCCTCAGTGGCTCCGAGTAGACGTGAGATCCCCTCAATTTACTGACACTAAATTGGGAAATATTTTAGTGTGGACAGTTTATTGACCTGTTTACCTTTAATCTTGTTGTACAAAAGATAACATTCTAATTCTAATTCTAAAGCTTTGTTCTACAGCTTGGCTGCTTTGAATATGGCTGAGCGACTCCCCCGTCCACACACATGCAAAAGGTATGTTTCTGATTGTGAGCTTGCGGCGCGTAAGAAATAGATTCCTGGATTTAATGTGAGTGAAGTTGCAGCCCCCCGAAGAGTAGAAGCCTTTAGAAGACAGTGTTTAAAAGGGAAAAGACGCTTAGAACGAGCATTATATCCCTCTAACATATATGAGACATTGCTTTGATTTAACACAGCAGCCAAAGGCTCATCAGATTGTCTCAATTCCTTTTGTTGATAGATTCTGCATGCAGAAATGCAAAGTACTCAAGGGCACCAAGCTTTTCCAGTATCTGTGGTTGGGGGAAAAGACAAAACCGTTCAGAGTGACACAATCGCTTGTACTTAGTAACCAGACTGACCTGGTAGGAAGCTGGTGAAAGGTTAAAGGTCAAAGTCCACCTAGCTGTGCCTCACTGCAGAGCACCGCTAAACTAAAGGCTTTAGTCCCTCATGTTCATATATATATATATATTATATAATATAATATATAAATTATATAATTTATATATTATATAATATATAAATTATATAATATATATATTATATAATATATAAATTATATTATATATATTATATAATATATATAAATTATATAGTATATATATATATAAAAAAAACAAAATAATAATAATTGGTTATTATTAACATAATATTTTTTGGGGGGGAAAGAATGAATATTACATGTAGACCTCGAGGGGAAAGCCAGAGGTTAAACTTTACTGGAACAAATCACAAAATATCACATGCAATGACAATCGTCATGGAAACGTAACAAAGGAAACAAAAAGTCCTCCGATGAGCAGCATAAACTCTGTCACGCGACCGGAGAGGTCAGCTGAGAGGCACGACCTCTCCCAACTGGGACATGTTGTTACACAACATGTGTCAACAGACACAGTATTTCTCATTTGCCCAAAAAGCTGCTCATAGTGTCTCCAAAACAAGAACGGAAGACGCGGACTTTGTTGTCTCGCAGGATTTTGGTTTCTCCCCCCCCCCCCCCCGTGTTATCTCTGAGTGTGTATTACTTGTGCAGGGCGGGCAGGCCGTCCGTGTCCCGCTCCGGGTCCCTGGTGTTGGGAATCACCCCTATGATGGTGCTCTTCAGCGACGTGCCCCGCAGCAGCCGCTGGCTGACCAGGTGCATGTTCCGCGGGGAGTCCACGGTGAACCGGGCCGTGGAGCCCGGCAGGAGCACCGCCTCGTGGCTCAGCAGCAGCGGCAGCCGGCTCGGCACCTGGATTCCGTCGCCGGACGCCATCGTCCGTCGTCGTCTTCTCGGTTAGTTCCGGAAGACAAACGCCCGCTGCCGTCGGATGGGCCGAGCGGCAGGGAGACTTCCGAGTCGGGCTTTCAAAATAAAGCTCTCACCGAAGAGTCGGATACACGATTCGGCCTACGATGAGATTTAATTCACGTTTCTGAAATCAAATCGCTGGGTTTTTGTATTCACAGTTATTCTCGCACGGTTGTTGACCCCCTCAAAGGGATTATTTGGTATTTGTGTCCGTCTTTACCTATGCGTGTTTACTTCTGGTACGCGCTGGACGGGCTACGGGTAGTCCTCGTGGACAAAATGTGCGTAATCGCGAATTCTTTGTTGCTCTTTTTCAATTGACGAGATATTTCCCCCCCCCCCCGTTAATATCGTCGTTTCTTTTTACTTGACTACTCGGTGTGACATCTAAACCTACTTGCTACTTTACAAATACACAAAAAAAGACTATTTTTTTCTAATTTGATTCAATGCTACAGCAATAATGATCTACCAAACAGTATATACATTGGCCAAAATAGCTCCAAGCAGCCAGGTGCACCACTAAAATGTTACATACATCAGGATTAATTATACAATATCCTCTGCATAATGGCTACTTTAACCATAAGTACATTTGAAAACTGATGCTTGTCTTACTTAAGTAGTGGGTCAACATACATATGTACGCTTTAGAGAAATAATATGACCAAGACAAGGTTTAAATACCTGCATTTTATTATGCGAAAGAGTTGGAACACATTTAATTATTGATTGCGACGTGTTTCGGGACTAACTTTAATAAACACTAAACATAGGGTTAGTTGATAAAAATATCTATTTAATATTTCTTTCTTTCATTAAAGTCTTGTCACATGGTATTATACATTTAAAAAAAATAAATACATTCATATCTTTGTATAAAAACAGCCTCTAAAGACCACAGATAACAACCATCCTCGTGTTTGCATGTATCGTCTCAGTTGTTGCAGTCACCTTCGGGAAATCACTTTTTTTTTGTCCACGATAAGATATCTTTGAATACACCTCTTATGTTTAAAGACAACCTTACAGTTATACATGATTAAGAACAATAGAAACTGCATCAGGGCAATGCACCAACAATCCTCCATCTTTGGTTAAGCATAGCAGTTACTATGTCATTTAATTTCAAAAGAGGAAATAATGAGCTATATGTTGAAAAACGATTGTCCTCACAGGATGTGAAGTTTATTTTTGAAAACAAGGAGGTAACAACTGAATGTCAAATGTGATACCTTTAGAAACACAGTTGGTCAAAAGTAATAAAGTGATGTGACGTTTTCACCAAAAACTGACTAAACCAGCAAGTCAGATATTTTCAGTTATTTAACCAGGAGATTATCATGGAAATGAAACATGACGCGAGCAAAACACGAGCCCGGAGTGCATGGAGTGAACGATATTGGGCCCAGACTGTTCAGAAGGCTCCCAGAAGGCCGATGGCGTGCTTCGTATGCCCAACGCATAATGCAAATTATTATTATCTTTTATACGTTGAGCCTCTTGAAGTTCAGTATGTCCGATATGATATGTGTGATTATTGTATTCCTCAAAAACGTAATACATTTCATTTAACAGCAACGAGATGGCCTTCAGTTGAATTCCTCGAGTGGGAAGAAATTAAAGTGGGTAGAGCCAACACAACCGGAGAGGACATCTCACACAGGGAACAATGGCGAAAGAACGTTTTCTTTGAAGCAAAATATTTTCGTTGAAAGCCTAAAAGGTCTTAATGTTGAGTTTGGGGGTTGTACTTTTACCAGTTTTTATTTACAGCATGTTTCGAAGCCGAGATTCTAAAATCCCCTCTAATCAACCTTCACGCCTATTTGGTTTGCTGAGATGAAAAAAAATCTAACTGCACTTATTAGATTATTTAACTGGAGAATAGAGAATAACTGTATGAAGATAATTAATATATGTAGTGCCTGAGTATAAAACTACAAACCAATGGGACTATGATGACACTGATATTGATATTGTAAATGTAGAGGATGAACAACATCGACATATGAACACCCAATCGAGTCATCGAAAACAATCACTTGAAAAAAAAATGCATGACTTGGACGGAGAGAGAGAGAGAAACAACTTTTTTTTGGCAGGTTGTGGATGTGCAACAGATCTAGATAATGACGCTTGTAAGAGCCGTTATGATGGGTGTCAGGATCTGATTGATAGGGGGGGGGAGGGGTCAAGGCAGGTGTTTTTGACCGCATGCTCGGTAGTGTCATGTGACGCACGCTGGGTGGATGTACAGTGCCTTGCGAAAGTATTCGGCCCCCTTTGAAGGGCTTCAAAGTATTAACTTAAGGGGGCTGAATAATTTTGCACGCCCAATTTTTCAGTTTTTTATTTGTTAAAAAAGTTTGAAATATCCAATAAATTTCGTTCCACTTCATGATTGTGTCCCACGTGTTGTTGATTATTCACAAAAAATTACAGTTTTATATCTTTATGTTTGAAGCCTGAAATGTGGCAAAAGGTCGAAAAGTTCAAGGGGGCCGAATACTTTCGCAAGGCACTTTATGTTAAACGTATGACAAGAATAAGTTGTCAAATAAATGGACGTGGTACAACAGCGGCGCGTCAATTACGTTTCCGGACAAAATGCCTCAGTGGCTTAAAGCGTTGGCTCAGCCTCTGCAGCGCTTTAAACCGATGAACGCAAGCTGCAGGTAAGAAACTCTAAGAAACGCTAAAGACTTTTCCACAATGTAAGATAATGCAAATTTAAAACAGACTGCCCAGTGACCTTCTCCGACACACACACCCACCCTACATCCAGAACCTTTGCGTTTACCTTTTTGTCATGTAGCCAATGCATGGTTTAATTCTGCCATGTCACCCAATGTACCAAGTTATATTTGCTCTCGCATGCCTGGTCTTGCAAAAGCTGAATTAGAAAGCAAAAAAGCAAAATGTAAACAAAGACAACAGCAGTAATCAGCGTGCCTGTTGGTTTAAGTGCAAAAGTGAGGGCTTTATGTACAGAGCCCTCACTTTTGCGCTTTGCTGTCTTAAAGAGCCATCTGGCTGTGGTTCAAGTCAGCAGAATTTTTCAATATAATATCTCTGCAAAGTGTCTCTGACGGCTTCTTCTGGGGTCCAATGAAGGCTTTTGGGTCAGACATCAATTTGGTGATCAGCTCAGTCCATAAATATATGTATGTGGAGGTGGGCAAATGTCTTCCAAAACTGGAAACCCAACTTTTAATGTCAAGACCATCTTGATACATTTGGGAAAGACAATTTGATGTCCACAAATTACACCTGAACTTAATTATTAATGCTCAGGGGACATGATTACACCAAGCCCCCATCATAAATATTCACTGTGACGTCTCCTCAGCTTCCGTCTATCTGCCTTTCCTCCATTGGGAAACACAGTCTGAAAAAGAAGAAGAGAGAAATTTGAGTAACTTGAACAAATATTTCATCCTTAACACAAACCAAATGGATCCATTGACATCAGTGTTGGGACACCAGTGGGTTCAGGCACTTTTTTATTTTTTGTATATGCGGTGTACGGTTGGGTAATAACGAGTTGGACAGAAGTTCTCGTAGGCACTGTAAAACTCTGTAAAAAAACTGTAAAAAAATTCTTATTATTACTTTGAAGATGGTGAGACACATGTTAACACACTTTCAATATATTTTGTGCGAGAAAACGTTTTTTCTTCATTGACAACATTACTCTCCCTGTCATGAACAATACACCTTTTTTTCTATTTTAGTTTCTATTACAAACTGGTATTATTAGTATTTTAAATATTTTGTTGTTGTAATTAATTTTACTATATTTAACTTACATTTATAGTTATTATATTTTATACTGGTGTCAGTTGTGTTTATTTATAATACTTATTACTACTACTATTAAGAGTTTAATACCTATTACTTTATTGTGCATATATAATGACTTTAAAATACTATTACGGAATTTTACTATTAGTGTGTGTGAGATTGTTTATTAAGGTTAAGCGTCAACTTCCAGTTCCCTTGAACGATCATTTCAGGCTGGTTTTAAAAAAGGCGAGAATATTCCCAGCGAATCCCGTGTTGCAATGTCCAAAGAGCGTGTTTGCATCGTGGTGCAAAAAATCCGAAAACATTTGCATAATGAATATGTATTACATGCTATTGTATTCGTAACAAAAGCTGCTAAATGCTGCAGAGTAAAAAGCCTGATATTTTTCACTGAGATGTATGAAGTAGATAGAAAATAGAAAAGTCAGATCATTTAGGACAAATACAGTTCTACCACGTGCGAGTCCTTGTCATCACGGAACAGTCACGTCTTCCTCTGTCGTACTCACGGTGCTGCGGCGCCTCTGCGCCGGCGAAACACTCGCCGAAGAGGCACTGCATGGTGTGACACAGGTTGTCCAGGAGAGCCTTCGGCGAGGCAAACCTCCAGTTGGACTCGGGCACTCGCTCGGGCTCCTCGGTCAAATGATCCCACGTGTCCTGGATGGTCTCCGGGAGGTCCTTCTGGAAGACCTGGACGAACGAGAGAAACACCACGTCGACCTCGGTGTTGCGCGAAAACCATTCAGCGTGAGTCGCACCAAAGGGGATAATTGTGGTTGTTCATTGATGGGAAATAGAAGAAAGAGCCCCAAAACTTAACAGAGCAGACAATCCATTTTTTTTTCAATCATTTACAAATCTAGAATGCGTAACTTTTGACTTCTTCTCCCCCTCCAGCCAGCTGGTGCCAACGGCTCAGTAATATGACATGTGAGTTCACAACTCTTGTTACTTATGTTTTTATCTGGTGGCAAAGTCCCCCGATTGTCTCTGTGAGGACAATGTCGAGCTGTTCCCGGACGGTCCACGTCAGACAATCGGAGCGAGTACGTTCAGTGATTGAAGCGCTTCGCTGTCAGCCAGATGCTGGACGCTCTGACTGGAGAAGGTCAGAGGAGGATCCCCGATGGAGCGACTACAATGGATCACATGTGCACAGCTTCTATTTGAGAAAAGGAAGTAGGGTTTGCAGACTACCTCTATCCTAACAACTGTCCTGTGAATTTATTTTACAGAAATGTTTACTTCAAAAACTGTTTTATATAATTCACTAAATGAGACCTTATCAATTAAAGCTGCAACGAATTAAACAATTACCTAAGATTACCTTTGGCAGACCAATTAAGATATAAATGTGTGCAAACTCTTTCTAATTCAGCACAAACCAGTGTCCTCTTTAACAGACGCCAAGGACAAGAGGAGGAGACGTCTCCCCTCGTTTGGGACAAACTGTGCTTTGTTCTGCCTGCATGAACCAATCAACATCCAGTTCAAATGGCAGGAAACTCAAATAATTTAAAACCGACACGGTGATTAAGGATGCACATATTTAGGTAGAGTTTATAAATGAATATATATATATGAAGACACAATATTTAATCAGTCAGTAGAGAGGATTTTGGAATACTACAGAATCCAAATGACAGGTTACTTTATAACCTAAATAAAGTAAATGTGTCGCACAGAGGCAGATTAAAAACATATAAAATACAAGCGCTAACTAAGACAAAGCACTAGCGTGCATGCAATTAAAATCTCTGGGAAGATCACAAGGACGCATGTTTGAAAATACTTGATTTATGTAAAAGGAAAAGCCTCTTCATTAGCAATGCCACTCAAGTCCCATGAATTGAAATTGCACAAAATTAAAAGGAATATTGTCACATATGTGGATTATATCGGGAGGTGTGGAATTGAAGAAATCACCCAACATATATATCGTTTTGTCTGCATTCAATTCCACTGAGACTGACGTGAACGTAACAGCGAGAACAGAGCAGATGAATATCGACTTCGGGGCATGTGATGTGTCTGTGATCGGCCCAGACTTACTGTCTACTGACTGAGAGTCACAGCCTTTTTAATAGTAGCCACGGGGCACTGCGGCGAGGATGCCTGATAGTGCAACGCGTCGACGCCATTCCCCCTGTTCGGACAGTTCAAGCGGTTCTATTAATGACTCCACTGTTTTGATGGGGACCCTCTGGAAATCCCTCCCAAAGGCCTCTGAGGGTCCATTTGTCCCATTGGGCCGGCATGTTTTAACACAGCTTGATAAAAACACGCGTTACAAATGAATGCACTGCATTCATCACACAAAACTGGTTGTCAAATTATGTCATTTAGCGGACGCTTTTATCCAAAGCGACGTACAATAAGTGCGTTCAACCATAGGGTACAAACTCAGGAGAACAAGAAAGTGTCAAGACTTGTAAAGTCAAGAAAGTGCAATTTCCTCAAATAAGCCAATTTACAATTTGCTATAGATGAGTGACGTTATAAGTACAATTTAAGTGCTACAATTTGTTAGTCTTTAGTCGAGGTAGAGTCTGAAGAGGTGTGTCTTTAGTCTGAAGATGTGAAGGCTCTCTGCGGTCCTGGTGTCTTCAGAGAGCTCGTTCCACCATTTCGGCGCAAGGACAGCAAAGAGTCGAGATCTAATCGAGTGTTTTGCTCTCAGTGAGGGAGGGACGAGTAGTTTTGCAGATGCAGAGCGGAGAGTGCGGCTTGGGATGTAGGGTTTGACCATGTCCTGGATGTAAGCTGGACCCGATCCATTCACAGCATGGTAGGTGAGCCCCAGTGGTTAGAACTGGATGCGGGCGGCCACCGGTAGCCAGTGAAGAGAGCGGAGGAGTGGAGTAGTGTGGGAGAATTTCGGAAGGTTGAAGACCAGTCGAGCTGCTGCATTCTGAATGAGCTGTAGAGGTTGAATGGCGGCAGCAGGGAGACCTGCCAGGAGGGAGTTGCTGTAGTCCAGGCGGGAGATGACAAGAGCCTGAATCAGTACCTGCGCTGCCTTCTGAGTGAGAAGGGGACGTATTCTCCTGATGTTGTAGAGCGTGTATCTACAGGATCGCGTTGTCGCGGTGATGTTGGGAGTCAGGGAGAGTCGGCTGTTCGAGTGTCACGCCGAGGTTCTTAGCGGTCAAAGTGGGCGTTCCAGCACGGATGAACTAAACGTAATCAAACTGAACACGACGGAAGCCCATTTCCGCCCACAAAAAAAACAAAGGGTTCGGAAAAGTCAAAAGTATGACTTAAGATATCCTCCGGGTTTTTTTTCCTCGGTACATTGACTTTCCAAACCCTCTTGGCAACTTGGTCTGACGGGACGTGTTGTGTTGCAGCTACTGTGAGTCTCACGGAGGAGACACGCGTCCCGTCCAGTGCTGAAATCGCCGCTGATCTTTCCTCATTGAGAAATTGGCAACACCGGTTCAACAAAGGACTTTTCAATCGTCACCAATCGCGATGACCACGGGATCGAATACCACCCGGATCGTGTTTTATCTCCCTAGGAGTTTGATTCATTTTCGAATACCGAAGATAATTTGGCGTCGGCTAAAAGTCAGACGTCCCTGTTTCCTATGAGGGTGGAGTGACTGGGTGCAAGTGTCCGTAGAGCGTTTACAGTCGGTAAAGTTGGCGAGATAAATATTGTATATCTATAATAATATCTTTGCAGGTCTAATTCCAACATAGTCAGTGTCCTTTTTTTCCATTACTGACTTGAGAAATTTGAGGAATTTACGCAAATTGCGAAAGAAACATTTGCATTTGAACAAGGCTTTTTCGAATGCCGTTGCTGGACCAATCATTTGACGGTCTCCCTTTTACTCTCCTTGAAACCAGCAACATGAAGGACAAAGCCACCACCAAGGTGGCTCTTGATGAACCGATGAGCACGTTACTATAATCGAGGGTGAGAGGATCCGGTCACATCCCATCTCTGTTTCCTCCGAGCAGCGCCTCCTCCTCTCGCTCTGCGGCGGCCAGTTCACTTTGACACGGAGCTGCAAATGAGTGCAATCCTGCAGTAATGTGCAACATTCACGGACGAATTAGCAGAGGGCAAGCTCAGAGGAAGCCCTGGTTACGAGGCACCCACGGGGAAGGCGAACAAAACTCCAGCAAGAAACTTGAAAAGTGCAAAGAAATGTCGGGTCAACCACTTTCCAGCTCTTAGGGTGAAACCGCTGAAACCCTTAAACAAGGAGAGACTTATCCCCGAGTCGAGATGATGTCACGCTCAGGAAACCTGAGCTTGACGTCCTGCCCTGTTTGAGCTTTCCCTGGACTCTTCAACCATTTTTAAAACCAAGACACAATTCACGCGTTAGACGGGCCGGAGCGATTTTATTTCCCTGCGTCTCGAAATTATTTCCCTTTGTGTATCTCGTGATGTTTCTCCACCGCTCTGTTGGTCTTTCTCAAACTGAGGATCGCAGTGGGAGGTTGGAGAAACACACAGAGGAGCGGTTGAGCTTGGCCGTGTGTTTAGCGCTTAGTTTTGTGTGGTAGCGATCAGATGCCTGCACTTGGCAATTTGCAGGACAACAACCGTGAGTCTAAAAGAGAAGCTGTGGTCGTAAATCAGGGTCCGCCAGGTAAAGAGAATCTACCTCTGCAGCTTGGATTTGAAGTCCCGCCCGTGTGAAACACCGTGGTAGGTCCTTAAAATAGTTTCATTCGTTGAATTAGTTTATTTATTAAAATTAGCTAATACCTGCAGATACCCCATATATGACACATTTCACAGATTGACACTACGTTTGTCCTCAAACGTCTTTGTGGTCATCAAAGCCGCGCAGGAAGATCTTGACCAGCAAGCAGGTGGAGCCAGTGACGGAGCAACGGTGCTTTTTCCGTATTTTGGATGGTTGCACCTTCTTGTGCCTGACTGATGGACCTCATGTATGCCTTTCACTAAGCTACCCCAAGAAACTCAAATATACCTTTGAGGTATTTTCAGATGTTCTTTTTCTCATTTTTTTTTAATTAAATATATATTATAACTGTTTGATATTGTTTGAAAATGCTTTAGCCGAGCTGTTTGGTTAGTTTGGGTGTTTTTCTGCATACGTAACCCTAACCTTGCAATATATCAAAATCCTTGTGACCATCGTGGAATTGACGCCAACCATATTTTCCAGTCCTGTAACACAATCTTTGCTCCACAGCAGCATATATTGCATAATATTTGGATTGTCATGACTGCGGAGAATAAACTTGGATGAACACCTTGGACCTCGGTCACCAGCCAGCCGCAGGGCTGTCGCACAGACAGAACAACCATTCACACTCACATCCACATTCACACACCCGGAGAGAAGCCACGCAGACACGTGGAGAACATGTGTAGACTCCACGCAGACAAGGACCAGGACCTTCTCGCTGTGAGGCGACAGCGCTGACCACCACCTTGTGTGCTAAACTCCCCTTCGATTAACTCTGTTGGCGCATGACTGGGTGTGTGTGCCGTATCTGATCCCCTAAAGATAAGGGCACTCATTTCCACAATCACTTCAATTCAATCAATTGCTTCATTTACAGAAGATCTAAATACAGCTGTGATTCAGGTGCGTGGACTGAAAGCTTACCTCAGCGGGATGCGACTGCACAAAGACGCCCTCCACGTCCTTAAAGCGTCTTTCCAGCTCGGTGGTGTATGGTCGCGAAGGGTGCCTCTCCGGCATAACCCGGATGATCTGAAATGTGAACGCGCCGTTAGCCAAAGACAAAAGATGCTCCGCAAACTTAAACCTCCTCCGCTCTGAATCTTTGCGGATAAACTATTCGCGCGTGGATGAAATGAATCTGCATCCGAGGAAGGATTGGGATTGGCAACGTATTTAATGGAAAATCCGAGCGAAGTGGTCGGCGAATCCTCCGAAATCCTCCTCGATGCACACCGCGTGCTAAGCACACGGTCGGCACTGATGCGAAACACCTAAGAGGACGCGGTTGCTTATCACATTCGTTTGGAATGCTTGGCAAATGGAATCTGTGATGTGTCCACTTTCTCCCAAACGGAGGAAAGACAAAACCGAGCTCCTCTACCTGCAGCGGCCATCGGCCCACCTGCCTCGTGGTGCCTGATTTAACTTCCTAATCTAATCCTAATGTCAAATCTGCATCTCGCAGGCCCAGGAGGCAACGTGTGTGTGTGTGTGGGCTTGAAGCTCCCATCCCCAGAACACACATACAGTACAGTATGTGCCTATTCCCTTAATCAGCCAATTACTGGCATGTGATTCCAAAATTCTGTCCTTCATTGACGGCTCGACGAAGGTTTAGTCTTATGATTCAACTCAAAACTGCGTTTGATCTCGGCGTGTAGAAAGTCAGTGGCTGACGGGACCACTGAAAACCTCTTTCTATGTGACCGGCGTTTGATTTGCGGCCCGCGGTGAACCGCTTATGCGTTATGGTCATGCTTAAGCTTTCAACATTTTATGACCGTGAACCAATTTAAATAATCTTTTTAGAGCAAAACATTTATGAAAGAAGCAGCATCTTCCAGTGACAACGAACACTTTGTGTTACAAAGGTCACGGACCACAGTTCCTCATGAGCTGTGCGTTTTTTTTTTTAGCAAATTACACAAACCGCTTGACACGGGGGGGTGGGGGGGGGGCACAAGAACCGTGTGTCTGTCGGTCACGAGATTTTTACCTTTTTTAACACGCCCTGGTTGACCTGGAACCACAACCTCTGCAGAACCAGCTCGTCCAACTCCTTCACCTGCGACCTCTGACGCGTGGAGCGGAGGAGAGAGATTTGAGCGACAACAGGTTGCATAAAGTCAGAGTGTCGATGTGTGTCGAGACACGGCGGACGTTTACCATTCTGTTGACGTCGGACAGTTTTAAGATTTCCTTGTGGTGGACTTTGATAGTGTAGTTGATGGGGAAGTTGTGCTTCTGCAGCAAAAGGAGAAAGGCAGAACATTATTTATATTTCGATTTAAACTTCCTTTGACTAATTGACAACGACACTGAGCACATTTAAAAGATAGAATGAGACAAATGAAAAACGTTGAATCGGAGTAACAATTTATGTGTTACGTTCTATCGGTGACAAAGTCATTAATCACGTAACACATTGGGGCCAATCTCTGATGGGTTCCACATGGATTATCTCACGAGTGCCCAGACTGTGAAGAATTTTACTGAGTTGATTGGTTTTACTGGAAACAGTAACAGTCAGTTTCCTTTCGTTCTATTGTTGTCCCCTCTATCGTTGGCTGGAGGGAGTCAAAAGTCACATTGGGAAAAGCCAGGAAATCCCAAACTACAGCGGAGGTGGACCAAGCTTCTAAAAATGACCCAAGGAATACACTTCACACTGACAACAGTTGGCTTGTGACACACTCGCGAGCGCACGCCACGCTGGTCCTCTCACCATGTACCGCCGCCTGTGGCTCAGGCTGTCGTTGAGCGTCCTCAGGGGCGTGCACATGCTGGCTGGAGTCGGGGCCATCAGAACAGGTGATAGCAGAAACAGGCCTGCAGCAAAAACCCGGAAAAAAAAACACACACACACACAGGAGATTGCAATGACTTTTTATTCCCACTCGTCACGTCAAATCAAGCGGTGGAAGCGAGCACACGGGTATAAAGGCCCGGCGGGAAGTGAGGGAAGGAAGCGCACGGCCGGTGGCCTGTCTGTCCCTCTGCGCTTTAAAAACAGAATTATAATCTGGCTAATTCCCTGAAACCGAAGACATTCTGACTTCTGGCCCCTCTTCAGTGCTAAGAATTAAAATGCACCGTCATTATTCTATTCGATTACGTGTCATTTCGACCGACGTCTGACAAAACGCCCCAGACAGAAGGTACACTGGTGTCAAGGGGTTAGGGGTTAGGGGTTCAGGGGTCATTCCCTCAACCAGCAACACCCATGAGGGATATTAAAGGTGGGTGATTTCTTGTTGCGTATATCCGTGTTTGTCGAGCAGCGGTTTTAATCAGCGTCGGGGGCCATAGATACGCTGTTGCACGCTCACACGTCATGTGAGATGCACACGGATGCATTTAAAACCAGTTAAGAACATCGATTGAAACATAAAAGTAAAACAGGTCATTAAAAAGATTCAATCAATTTCACACAGAAATTAGTTTAGCTCTGTCTCAACCTGGCAGAACAACTCCGTCCCTTTTAACAGCTCCTCGTATACTATTTTGGCTCAATTTAAAGTTTAAATATAGCACTAAGAATGCACACAGTTAAGTGGACTACAAAACCACACAATTGTCAGGGCTGAAGAAACCATTGTTATCGCCCTTTGCTGCAGGTTTTGGTCAATTAAAACTAAAACACAGCGGTGTGGCGTAAAAATAAGACTGAAAACGGTTACTACTGCGAAGTGTGTTTATTTGTTGAAGTTTAATCATTTTAGCAAGAGCGCCGATTATCGAATTCAACTGTGACCAGACAATTGAATTACGCGTAACTTGGCTCGGCTGCTTTGTTTTTCCCTCCGGGTGCGGCCAGCTGTTTGCGTTACGGCGCTCCGGGTGGACTGCTTCCACTTGTGCACAATTCGTTTCTACTCCATGAATGGAATCACGTAGGCTGTCCTCCTGTCGGCAGCCTTCTCCCCATCTGTTCAGCAGCGAATGCACCTTTTCGCGGCCTGAAACTCGAATCCTGCCACCCCCCGAACTGTGAGGCATAGCGCATGCATTTGGTGGGCCTGGGTGTGGGTGATAAAACAGCGAGAGATGCAGACACTGATGTCGTGGTATTGAGTTACCTGGCGTGCGTCCTGCAGACAGGAGTTACAACTAAGTGATTCTCTCTCCTTAAACAAAGTGGGGTCCTAAATCAACTCAGCGCTCATTACATTATCCACATCGGCCTTTTACGATCCGCCAGACGGGGCAGTGGCTGCTCTCAGCGTTTACCGGGCTGCTTGTCACTCGACTTTAAGTAAAAGGCCACATTTTTTTCTTTTTTTAGAGAAACCCATAAACCAATCAAATGGGGTCAAAATTACAGGTTACTACAATTGCACAAACCCCCCTTTCACAGCGCAAATCTCATCTTACACGCGAGCGTAAACATGTTATATATGACGGAAAAAAAAGACATGCATGCTATTCACGGCTGCTGCAGCTATATGTGTTTTACCACTTCATCATAACAAAAAACGTTGCCTACACGAACCCTACGACACCAGACGGGACCCAGAACCGAGGGTTGCTCTGTTTAGAAAATGCTAAATGAGTGTGACGTGTGACGATGAATTGTTTGGAATTGTAAATCATTGGCAAAAACAGGTTTGGGAAGCATATGGAAAACCGTTTAACTTTTAACTTTAAGAATTCAAAATCACATTACGTGTCTTACAACAACAACAACAGCTACATTTTCATCTGTCCTTTCCTGCTCGACATGTCCAGCTGGGTCACATCACAGCGAGATAAGAGGAGCAGCTTCACACTGAATCCATTGTTGAAAAACGAAAATATAGAGAGTGCAAAACCGCGATTATGCAAGTGACATTGCATTTCACCAGTGAGAAAGATAAAATCAGATCAGGCTCCACCTTAAATGAAAAACAAAAACAAAAACGTTGTGTCCATGAGTGTACGTGTGCATTTTTGAGGGGAGGAAAAAAACACAATAGCTCAACTCTGACACCGAAAATCCCATTTTGTGATGTGCACCACAGAGCATTCCTGAGTTACGAGTCCGCCAAGATACACCGACTTCAACACACAGTCGATGACATGTGTGCTTATACGTGTTCTGGCTAAACCGCAGATACATCTGAAACGCATTTTCGGTCGATGTCCAGCTGCGTTCGTGGAAAACGAGGAAAACGAGCACGCCCGTTGTCATGACGTTTGAAATCAATCGACGAAAGACTGAAATATGACTTCTCCGCAGGCTCGACTGCTTCGATCGTGGGATGCGGGAGAGATATATCTTTGGAGGTGTTACAGCTAAATCTTTCCTATCACATTCCCAATGGTCCTATCACATTCCCAAACATGACAGTTATTACAGTGTTTACCTGGACATAGAATATACTAGTACAAGTATATTTAAAGCCTGTCGCATTTGTCAATGAGTGTCAAAATGTGTATTCCTGTATTAAACAAACACATCTTACAATAATATTTTCATATAGAGTAACATTTTAGAGCGTAGCAGCAAAATTGAGCCATTGGAAGTGATGATGACGAGTAAACTGTGTGCACACGCCGATGTGCTGGCATGTAAAAAGGTGTAGAGACGAGGTGAAGGCGGCTCTCTTTAGAGTTATAATTTATAAAAAGAAAGTCGCTAAGTTGGCACCACCAGTTAGGATTGAGTTTGATGAGTGGGAATATGAATGTTAGCTGAATAGGAAACATAATTGGTTACCTTTTTGACAATTAAAATTCCCAATTTCACCAAGATGTTGATGTGGTTTAAGACCAGCGCGGAAGAATTACAGCCCACGTAGACTGGGATTGTGATGTGAAGGAACCAGCTTGACCCCACCCTGACCGAAGGGTGGATGGCTCACTTGCCAGAAGGACATAACACGGGAAGTACTTTAAAGACGCCTCCTTCCTACGCCTCCTTCCTAGGCCTCCTCCCTAGGCCTCTGTCCTACGCCTCCTTCCTAGGCCTCCTTCCTAGGCCTCTGTCCTACGCCGCCTTCCTACGTCTCTGTCCTACGCCTCCTTCCTACGCCTATGTCCTACGCCTCTGTCCTACGCCTCCTTCCTACGCCTCCTTCCTACGCCTCCTTCCTACGCCTCCTTCCTACGCCTCTGTCCTACGCCTCCTTCCTACGCCTCCTTCCTAGGCCTCCTTCCTACGTCTCCTTCCTACGCCTCTGTCCTACGCCTCCGTCCTACGCCTCCTTCCTAGGCCTCCTTCCTACGCCTCCGTCCTACGCCTCCTTCCTACGCCTCCTTCCTACGCCTCTGTCCTACGCCTCCTTCTTACGCCTCTGTCCTACGCCTCCTTCCTACGCCTCTGTCTTACGCCTCCTTCCTACGCCTCCTTCCTACGCCTCCTTCCTACGCCTCTGTCTTACGCCTCCTTCCTACGCCTCCTTCCTAGGCCTCTGTCTTACACCTCCTTCCTACGCCTCCTTCCTAGGCCTCCGTCCTGCGCCATTGTCCTACGCCCCTGACCTAGGCCTCCTTCCTACGCCTCCTTCCTACGCCATCTTCCTACGCCTCCTTCCTACGCCTATGTCCTACGCCTCCTTCCTACGCCTCTGTCCTACGCCTCCTTCCTACGCCTCTGTCCTAAGCCTCCTTCCTACGCCTCTGTCCTACGCCTCCTTCCTACGCCTGTCCTAGTGAAGCCCCGCAAATAATGACGCTTGGTTATGCACCTCTGGATTTTTGTAACTTGCAATAGGGCTGTCAAAGAATATTCTATATTCTAATATATATTTGAATAATTGTTGAAAACAACTATTCGAATGTGAAAATTAATATTCGATTGTAAAAAAAAAATTTTAAATAAAAAAAATGGTGGCGCGACTGACTGGTACCTGCCTACTGACTGTATACTGCATGAATAAAATAGACTAGATCGGCTACAACAACAACTTCATGCACTGGTTTGATTATTTGCCGTTTCATGCAAAAGTCTTGATCAGCACTCAGCATTTGTTTATTTTTATGAACAAATTATTATTATTATTCTTTGTTTATTTTTGTTGTCGTTCATTTAAACCGCTTTGCGCAGAGACCGCATACATTCGGATATATTCAAACGTCCTTTTTGAGTCATTTTGACAGCCCTAGCGTGCAGCCACATGGCTGTCGCAAATAGTTCACCGTCCGCAGTTGGTCTCATCATCAAAGCTTCGGACCCCCACTGTCTCCGACTACATCCAAAGGACAAATACAGACATCTACACATCAGCTCTTCACTTTAGATTTACACGTGGCACTTCAATAACATTTATTTGAAGTGACTCTTAATTAGTATGTTTATCATATTCACACAGTTTATGTTATTGTTAAACAATGTATTTCACTGTAGCATTGCTGTTGTGCGCCGATAGGGAAGCCCAAAAAAAAGGCCCTGAGGTGGGAGTAGAGGAAACCGGGACCTTTTGAAGACCAAGTCGTAGCCACCACTGTTTGCTACTTATACTAAATATACTACACTACAAATCCCAATAAATGTATAAAATAATAAACTGGACATTGCAGGGATGAATGTCCATATTCCTGATTTCAAACCGCACTAATTATTCACATCCTCCATCATTTTTCAATAATACTGTAGCTGATGAATGAATTTTACATAGAAAAAATGGTGATCCAGAGTTGATCGATACAGAAACAATCGTGAGAACCGTAATCTGATTTTAGTAATATATCCACAAGGTATTGAGCTTTAACTAAAAGCAATTCTATACATATATAATATTCCTGTGTGTAGGTCATCGAAGTGTACAAGAGTGGAACAAATGGGGGCCGTGCTAACGGTGGAAACCACACATTGTCTGTTGGATGGGAGTACAAATAGATCCTTTTAAGTGAGGGACACACACACACACATATACATGCAGATGTTTCTTACCCAAAAGGCCTCCCAGCAGGTAGACTGATGTGGACAGTTGGACCATACTCCTGAGCTTATATGCTTGACACCACAGTGCTATATCGCAGCACACAACACCGATGTCTGCAACTCTTCAGTGCGTGTGTTCGGTGAGGCACACATGAGTTATTGGGTTATCAGGTCTTCATCGCACTGTTGAGCATCACTGTAACCTGAAAACAAGACGCAAACAGCAGCCAAGTCAAGGGCCAGACAAGGAAAATAAGCCGTCATTTATTCATGGTGCAAAGCTGTGGCCGCCTAGAATGGAATACGGACGGTTTCATCATCAGTTTCATTTGTAAAAAAAAAAACCACTCAATTGAACTTGATGAATTGTAGATATTACCTGCGATTGACTCCAAAATCTTTGTTCTATTTCAACATTATAACATGTTGAGGTTCTCTTAGAGCTGCTGAGCAACGTGTGAAACTACTTTTTAAATTTGACTGATCAGAAAGACTTTTAAGGCACTTTGAAAAACTTTGAGTAAGGAGGGAGACGATCTTAAGGAGCCACTTAAGAGGATTTAGAAGCCATCGGACACATCTGCAGGCAGACAGAAATATTTACTGCAGTTTCTAATGCGTGTTCCTTGAAGTGAATATGTTTGAATATTAAAACAGGTGACGGCCCTTTGGGAAAGTTTGGGAAAGTTTGGGAAAGCCTTAAAATGTCTCCCTCCAGCCGAACTTCTCTCTCTTATTTTGACTTTGTTACACGCAGAGTTACTAATAGCGGCTCAGCTCTGTATACCTGCAGCTCTAGACAACACATTGTGCCTGTTACATGAGCTAATGGGGATTCTCCAATCAAAATCTCCTCCCCGATACGGTTTCCATTGGCTAAATAGAGGGTTTTGGAAAATGCAGTGTTCTAAATCCATGTAATGTAATCCAATACTTGTCCACAAATCCCCAAATAACTAATACATAATTGGGAATTATTACATTTTGCTTTTCTAGGATTTACAGAACTCGTTCCAGGGAACAGACTAACCAATTGCATGCGTTGCACATTGTGCTATTTTGAGACGCTGCAATCAAATTGCGGGTTGAAAGGCAGAACAGTTTATGTCACATGGCGTTTGCCAAAAAGATCCGCGTGGTCAGCGGGAGCAGAGGCTCTAGCCAAGAATGGAAAGAATCCTCAACGTTTTGTGCTACCGCGACCGTTCAAATGGTGGCGATTATTAGAGGGGGCAGTGTGATGCGCAAACCGTTGGACAAAGCAAAAATATTCGGAGAAAAAGTACCCAACCGAATCCGAGATGAAGGCAAGAGGAAACCGAGAGGAATCGAGCGGAAACAAGTGGTTTCCATAACAACAGATGCATTCCCTGCACGTACATCTATTGTATTAGAAGACGATAACAATATAACGTTGTGGCTTTTTCACAGTTGAATTCCCTTTTCTTACTATTTTTTAAGATTAACATTTTTCTACGTTACCGTTTTTTTTTTTTCTCTAACCCTCGTTGCACTTGAACTGAGAGAAGAACTCAACGTGACATGAAACGCATGGATTACATTTCGCCAAAAATGGTCCAAATTGAATGCTTTTTTTTTTTTTTTTTAAAGCGCCACATTTGATACACCGCTCCACTTCTGCGTCGAACCCCCCCCAGGGATTTATAAAGGATACTTCCTTCGTCTTCTTCTAATTAGTGCCCTCTCAACTTAAGTCTACTTAAGGTTGTTAGCAAAACCTCAATTTGAATCTCCTGTACATCTTTAAAACACAAATCTCAGCATTTATGCAGATTATTATTCACTGAATGCCAGATAAGCTCAACTTTGAAATTGGTTATTAAACCCTGAGGTTTTACTGCTACATCTAATGCGATTCATTAAAACTTAATTCATAGAAGGCAACTTAGGATGAAGAGTTTGCCGGATTTGAAATGTGAAGATAACTCCTCATGTATAAGTTTAAAATTAATACTGGATCACATTTTAAATGGGAATTTAATGGTTTGGTGAAACAGAATTAAGAACTAAGACAGCTCTCTGATGTTTTACAACTTGTGGCTCTCGCGCGCGGTTGTGCGCAATATTAGAAACAGGGCAGTGAAGCAAGACATTTTCGAATGACTCAGGCTTTCACCGCCCGCACACCCACGGCGCGCGTCGTCAATAAGATGTTCCCACATCCAGTCGACTCGCGGCTCAGGAATGTTGCTGATATTTTGGTGGAAAACACACAGCGTCAGCTGCATGATCACTGGGGGGAAAAAAAAAACCTTTTTGTCACACTCACCAAAACACCAAAACTGTCTATTTTTGGGACTGAACGTTGACGTTACAGCGAGAAGCAATGTCTGCTGACGTGGCAATGATATATTTTTTATAGCTAAATTACATGGTTAGCTTTTAAACCTGTCTCACCCTTTACTTAATATTGGTGTGCTCTGTTTATACCGACAGTTAACAATCTCTATGATATGTTCCTATCTCCCTTTCTTTTACCTCCCTCTAAATATTCACTTCCCTCCTCTCATCTTCATCTAGCTTTTTCCACCTTATTTCAGCGCTTCACTGCCGCCAGAAATGGACCACTGTACAAGTCCTAATTACAGGAAGTGCGGTCAAGTTATGAAAAGTAATAGGAAGCCAAGGATAGAGCTCATTAAAGGGGAGAAGGGTGTAGGAGTTGGTGGCGTCCATTGGTGAGATTATAGATTTCAGCAAACTGAACAACCCCGTCTGCTCACTGACACGTTTCTAAGCGTATTGAGAACTCCGCTGGCCTCCATGTAAAAACTAGTGCTGTGCAATTATCAAAAAAATAATATAAAAAAACTACAATAATGATGCGTTAACGTGCCTGGCCCTAATAAAAACCTGAAAAAAAGGCTCCTCCCCCGGAGCCAGTGTTCATTTTTTCCGTTACTGTAGAAACGCGGCCAACTCAGTGGGGAGGAACCGCGCCATATGTGGATATACACTACGACTCGAAGGTTCGCAGGCCTTCTCATTCAATTGAACTAGAGAGTGTGTCCTGTAAAAGTATAATTCTAAGGTAACAAAAAATGCTCCACGTTTCAGACAGGTACTTCACATTAGCCATCAGCATGTCTGAACTCTACCCTTATTCTAAACGTGGCCATGAAACCATGCATTCATGCCGTAGCTCTCATGCGTGTGCATGTGTCAGTGTGTCTGTGTGTGTGTGTGTGTGTTCAACTTCAAAGAGGACACTAACTTCCATGGGATTTGTGTAGAAAAGCTGAGGAAATGCTGAGAAAACCACTTCTCAAAACCGGAGCTCCTTTGCTTAGCTCCCCCTCGACGAGTGGAGAGATCATGTGCTCTGAGCTGCACGATAAACACCAATTCTAACATCTAAAAAGGGTCTGAAAGAGAGTTGGGAGTCCAAGAAGAAGAAATATAAAGTTAAGTAAAGATTGAAGAAACTACAGTTGGATCTGCATGGCAACAAATAGAAATGCATTGGAATGCTGACAGATGGAGTCGATTGCAAAGCATTGCCTGTAATGAAAAAATGTCGTATCCCTTTCATGAGAGAAAGTTTATAACCCCAAAATGCAAAGCTGAAAAACATGGTTCTTGAAATGTGAAACGGGCAGAGGTGGAAGCCAAACTGCATTATTGAAGAAAGCTTAGAGCTGAAATACATTGCTGGAAAATGAGGCTGAACTGCTAAACTGTAGAACTCGCAGTAGTAGTAGTAGTAGTAGTAGTAGTCGAAGTAGAAGTAAGAAGAGGGGTATAGCAGCTGGAGTTATAGTAGCTGGAGTTTGTGGTTCTACGGTGTGAGAATTGGATAGCCAAATACAGACCAGTTAAGTCAAAAACTTTGTTTTGCACATTTTATGAAATCCAATCCTTAAACTACTGTATTTTTCTGTTATTTTTGAAGAGAGCTTGTAAGTTACAATTTCAGCAATTTGTTATATTTTGTATTTATTATAACACTGTTTTACTGGTGAGCTAAAATGTACACCACATGTCTGTTGTCAAGTGTAAGTTCATGTTAAAGTTAAAGGAAAATCTACAGAATCTGATGAAATTGAATTGATTTGATCAATCAACAATTTCCTCAATGTTAAACATTTCTTAAGAGGTTATAGTAATCTTTAACTGGATTATTATTCAGAAAAATCCTGACTATGGCTTTGTCAATTTCATCTAACATTAATCTACAGGTTTTTTTAGAAGGCAAAGTCAGTCAAATTGAAACTATGAAATTCATAGTTTCCATCTTTAGTAAAACAAAGAGAGAACAGGATTTTTTCAAAGGACTCTTTGTCAAGATGAGACGTACCATGTCCAATTCAAATTTCATGCCATCTAACTGAAGGGCTTCTGCGATGGGAAAGCCAGCTAAAAATACATTATGACAATAATAATTTCCTCATATTGGAAAAATACTTTAGCTTCATGCTGAGCAAGAACCCATATAAAGGACCTTATAACACCGTACGATTTGTTTTTTTTAACAGTTCAAATACGGGGAAGTGATTGATATCATAATGTAACTTGAACTGACATTTCCTCTCATTTTCTCAAACACAGAAGGCTACAGTAAAATTACATGAAATTCGACGTAGTTACAGTTGACACTTTTGCTAACTCGTAAAGTAAATCATTGAACGAAGCAGCACGCTTTTTACTTCTAAAACAGTACTTTAGGTTATATTATATCATATTAAGTGGACCGAAGCTCCGCAGATGAAGGTGCCGATTTGCACATCTGAGTCAAACTTTTGTCTGACCGGTGGCACGACCTGTGAGAGCCGACGTGAAAGTAATACAGAAATCACTCACGCACGGGTTCGACCGAAATCGACGCCGGGCGACTCGCCCGTCCACGGCCACGTGCCTCACACACACACACGCGCGCAATAAGAGCACTGCGAGGAAAGCGAGAGGAATCCCATTGTGCGCACTCGCGCAGATGGACACGCACGCACCTGGAGGGTCCCTTGGGCCCCGCGTCCCGGGAAGCACGTTGAAATGAGCCGTCGGGTCAGAAGAGGAAAAACGATCCGGTAGCCATCCAACTATAAAAAGTTGACGAAAATGAGTGAGGGGAGTCCTCTAAAGGCTCCGTCCATCAACGCCGCTTTGCGCAACAGGCTGGCTCCCTCCAGTCAACGTCAACCCTTACAGGCAGACCTTCAAAATAAAAGCGCAAGCAGCGCGCTCTCTCTCTCCCCCACTCTCTCTCTCTCTCTCTCTGTCACTCTTGGTTGTGCACTTTGATGTGCTCTCAACTCTCCATGACTGTGTCTGAAGTGCCAACAATCTCCCCACATTTAGCCAGGTCGTTTGCCAAAACCACCGTCTTTTTAGGGACACAGTGGTGGTCCTCTGCAGATGTTGAGATGGAAGTGGCCTCGCAGATACCAACATGTTCTGGCCAATATCAGTCCTGCAGTGGTCTGTTTGCCACGCGTCCCCCTTCAGTTTTGACACATGGAGGAATTCCTGTGAACAGTTCTCCGCATTACGTTGCACCGGAAGTGATTAAGTTATGTTAACTGCTTTAGAAGATTCTATCGCGTTAATATCTGCAAGAATAATATCATGGATTAACGTGTTGACTTTGATATGGGAAGAATCTAAATGGCGCCATGACAATAGCTGTCTGATGAGTCTTAATGCTGAGGAAAGCTGCTTAAGTGCTTCATTTATTACACTGTAACAAATTGCTGTAAATTTACGGTGCATTTCTAATGGTATCTTACAGTATGTCATAATAACAGTAACATACAGTTAAATTTCCATTCCTTGCTTGTAAATTAACGGCCAATGTCATGAATAAACAGTTAAAGCTGTCAATTTACAATAATAACAATAATAAGGCTACCATAATTCAACTGCATGTTACATATATTTTATGAAGTGGTGGAAATACACATACAAGTGCAGTGAATCACAATCCATCTACATTGTCATTTCAGTGGCCGGAATGTAAAGATTATAAATATTTGTATTATTCAAAGTGTTCATTGCCTAAAAGAGATTTGATTAACATTATCCTTCCTTACATCTTGTTGTCTTCCTCAAATTTGTAATTTTAATATTTTACCAATGACAGTGTTTCTAAATATTTTAATTTGGTTTGTTTTACAGAGGCACTAGATTAAGGACGCCAGCCGTTTGCTGCGGTCAATTGAAAGTGTTCCATAGCGTATTGCTGCAGTTAGTTTACCTTGTTGCTAATGATTTTATGATTCATGCGGCATATTTTATGTTTTGTTCTTGGTTACAAATGCCTAACATTTTTGTCTGAAAGGCATCTAACAAACTCCAACCACTATGACCAAAATGATTTTGGTTGTCTTTCTTAAATTTATAGGGAATTAAATGCAAAAGTATACGGTTATAAGTAAACAGTAACATTCTGGTATTTATAACACAAAAACAGTAATCGTATTGTAACAAACTGTAATCCAATATACAACAACATACCGTAAATTACGGTGGGGCACTGTAAATAAAACAGTAAGTTACTACCGTCGACTGCCAGTAAATTACAGTTAATTCAAAGTAAAATTCAAGTTTACTGTAACATACAGTAATCCATTTTACGGTAACATAGTGTAAAGACCATTCACGGTATTGCACCGTAAAATAACGGTAAATTAATGGCGTCCTTGCTGCCAGTAAAATACTGTTAATTTACGGTGACATTTTTTAGAGTGTAACTATGTCACCGTTCAGGGCTGGTTTAGGACTCAAGAGTCCGACAAGATTCAAATCGAAAAAGATGGGGGGTTTTTACCGTCCACCAAGAGTAATAAACAAAAAGAACTCAAGGCGAGCAAAAAAAGAAAATCCCAAAAGGCAAAGTCATTACAGAGACACATGGTATTGGCCCGACAGACACGACGCGCACAAGGTAAAGAACAATGACAATTCAACAACTGGACTGGGGAGTATATACGAGTGGGGGGGGGGGTGAGGCAATTGGAGGCAGCTGGGCGGACATGAGACTAACGAGACGACAATCTCCTTTCACGTGGGAAACCCTGGACCCTCCTTTACAATTATGTAATATTTGGCATAGGGCGTAGGCCTTATTGCTGTGATCAATCAGTTTTAGCATTGACGCCTTTTAGCAACACATTTCACACATAGTCTACAGATGTGAGTTAGCTTACTGCGGGAAACAACACGTTCAAAGCTCCGTGTTTTATAACCGCAGCTGCCGGCAGGGATCCGGTTTGGATTGACAGTAGTGTCAAGTGTTAGTGTTACGGGTTTGCTTGCCTTCCTCATCTGACAGATAACAGATTACACCTCAACCGTCATTTGGTCTGCAGCGCACATGTTATAGCTTGTCAGTGCGCATCCATTCAGGATTGTGTGTCACACACTGACACATTATTTATTTTCTGAGACAATAACTAGAATTTCTAGCATAGGTGTAATGTTTTGACCGATAATACCTTTTTCAGACTTGCAACAGATATGTGATGTTCCAGGAGAGTTGGGACAATTACACTTTGGAGAGTACTTATAGGCGGACTGTGAGGGTTTCTGGCTGAATGCGTACAGTACAGTTTAAAAGTTTGGACACACTCACACCTCATTAAATGAAAGAAGGTGTGTCCAAACGTTGGTACTGGTACTGTACATGATAGAGGGATATTATTGCATCATTACAGACAGAGCCAAACCTCCACCACAACCGCATGTTCCACCAGACATGGCAGCTGAGCTCAGAGGGGAAAGCCCGCAGGAGGGCAGAGGCATGGACGCAGTCATGTCAAGGCACTTTTTTATGATTTTCATTTTCCATTCAGTTACAAGATATTCCTAGATATTGACGTTGGTCAGATTTTGAAGTGACCTCGCATCAACTGTTTAAGGAATTGGTGCGAGAATGGTGCAAAGTAAAGCAAATAGATGTTGCATTATCACACAATGAGTGAATTGCTTATTTGGTCTAATGTATTGCCTGGAGTCTGAAAAGTTTTTACTCTTGTTAAACATACAAGAGCAAATGGGACGTTAGTCAATCGAGTATTTGTCCTAAGTGTACCCAGGTGCTGGTGTGTAATCCCTGAGCAATTCAACGCTAGGACACCTAATCAAACGCTGCAGATCGATATATACAGGGGACTTTTGGAATGAGAAACAAATGTGAGCTCCACACCCTGCTTTGTAAAAGTTATCAAAATTTTCCCTTTACGTCAAGCTCTTCATAACACTTATCTCACTGCACGCAGTGCTATGTGATGGATGGGTCACACAGAGAGAGGGCCTCTGGTGCTCTCCCTCCCCACAGGATTCTGTGGATGGTGGTTCTATCTGATGGTGGTTGCCTCTGCAGTGGTCCTGCTGTGCGCCTGGCTTACTACTCACAATTACTTGAATCATTTCTGTCATAGGAATTGCATGTATTATACATTGTTCATTCTGTACACATGGCATCCATTGTAGTCTGTCCATCCCGGGAGTGGGATCCCTCCTCTGACGTTCTCCCTAAGGTTTCTTCCCTTTTTTCCCTCTTGTAAGGGTTTTTTCATTTTTTGGGGAGTTTTTCCTGTGCCGATGGTGGGTTTCGGGGCAGAGGATGTTGTATGTGTACAGACTGTAAAGCCCTCTGAGGCAAATTTGTAATTTGCGATTCTGGGCTATACAAAATAAAATGACTTGACTTGACTTGGAGCAGGTTGCAATGTAAACTAGAAAATGCATTTTCTGCAGAAAATGTGTTGGAATGCTGAAAGCTAAAAGCTGAATGTTGAAATTTGAAATTAATTTACAGAAATGAGATTAGCAAAAATGAAATTTTAAAAATTGCTGAAAAAAGATTGTTAGTGACAATAGCAGTAGAAATAGTAGTAATAATATAATTTGTAGTATAACTAATAGTATCAGTATTATTCTCTTTTGCAGTAATATTAGTAAAAGTAGGTGTAGAATTAATAGGAGTATAAATACTAGTCGTAGTTTTTGTTCTAGTCGTAGGATTAGTAACAGTTGTATTATTACTAATTCTACTAGTATTACTTCTAGTATGTACTATTACTACTTGTTGTAATAGTAGTAGTATTCTTAGTACTAGTAGCAGGAGTAATTTTAGTATTAATAGCAGTACAAATATTAATAGTAGTAGTGTTAGCATCAGTAGCACTAGTATCAGTTGTAGTAGTACTACCGGTAGTGTTATTAATAGTAATATTAGTCTTAAAGTAGTTGCAGTAAAATGTTGAAAGAGCAATAAGTATTTCAACATAACAGCATCATTCTGAGCTTCATGTTTAGTTACGGATAATCATTGAGGCTTTGAGCAAAAGTTCGTCTCGCGCGAGATATTTTCTCGCTCGCCGAACGGGAACTTCCTCGCTCGTGAGGCGAATCTCTGCTCGCGCTCGAAGGTGTTTTCTACGCGCTCGCTGTTGTTCTTTCTGACAGTAAGGGGGCGGGGCCAGTGACCATGGTCTCTACACCTGATTGGTTACAAATCCCGTCTTTGGATTGGCTGGAGTGATGCATTCACACAACTACAGAAGCCCATTTCCGCACTAATGTAAGGGGATAAAAAGTCGAAATTATGAGATAAAACGTTGTCAAAAAACAAACGCCCCCCTTCGGTAACCGTAGTGGACCGTAGATGACAACCAGCTACAACCATCATTTACCATCATTACCGGCACATTAAGAGCAATGCGTCCAGCTCGCAGACCGGTCCGTCAGTCTGAATCTGAATATCTAATAACTTTACTGAACTATGGAGGAGCCTGCGCACATCTTAGTCGATCCGTATTGAAAGTTGGCGAGATATTCACAGATTTGGACTTTTTTTTTCTCGGTATTTTACAAATACGGACCGGTCTGAGAGGTGGACATTAGTGCGGAAATTGGCTTCTATAGTTGTGTGAATGCATCACTCCAGCCAATCCAAAGACGGGGTTTGTAACCAATCAGGTGTAGAGGCCATGGTGTCTGGCTCCGCCCCCTTACTGTCAAAAAGAAAAACAGCGAGCGGGTAGAAAACACCTTGGAGCGTGAGCAGAGACTAACCTCGCGAGCGAGGGAGTTCACGCTCCGCGAGCGAGCAAATATCTCGCGCGAGACGGACTTTTGTCCCGCGGATGTTTGATTTACGCGCGCGCATCAACCTGATTTGCGCTCTCG